GGCTTGGAAACTGCCCCTTCGTCAGGGCCCACCTGGCTGTGAGTGTGCAGACAGCGGGCAAATCGGGCCTTTACGTGTGGCCTCCCCCGGCCCCTCCTCACCCCTGCTGACGCCGTGGTGTCCTGCAGAGCCGTATTCATGTGGACGGCAGTGAGACCCTGGCCGCCTCCCCCTACCGTGCTTAGCCCACCCCGTGGCACCCCTGCTTGCAGCTGCCGGCCTCCACCCTGGGTGCAGGTGGAGAGCAGAGGCCTGAATTTTGACCTGGGACTTGTGAGCCCACGTCTCCGGGGCTCAGTCTTGGTGTGGGGCTGGACGTGGCAGCCTGAAACAATGAGAGAGTGGCCAGGAAGGCTCCAGGCACTTGTGAGGCTGTGGCCTGAGGGGGGTATTGCGCCCCCTGGACGGGGACTCCCTGCTGTGCCAGCGCCCCTCCCTGGCAAGCCCATTGCACTTGCCTGGTACCGCATGTGGCAGAACTGTGGGTGCGTCTCCACGGTGGCTGGGCCCCCCTCCCTCCCCGCCTGAGCTCTCCGGGGCCCTGTTCTCGTGCAGTGGGTGGGAACTGCTCAGGTGATGGCTCAGGCCCTCAGCCCCCGCTGTAGCCTGTCCCCCTGCGTCCTCCCGCACCCGAGGGCCTGTCCCTGCAGGAACATGGCTCTGCAGGCCACGGCCAGCACTGTACCTGTGAGTCTGAGAAAGGAAAGAATGTGGGGGGGGGGGTGGCGCGGGGGTCACACCCAGCGATGCTTAGGGGTTACTCCTGGCTCTGCACTCAGAAATTACTCCTGGCGGTGCTCAGGGGACCATATGGGTGCTCAGGGGACCATATGGGATGCTGGGTTGGGAACCAGTGTGCAAGGCAAACATCCTCCCCGCTGTGCTGTCGCTCCAGCCCCCAAGGAAAGGGTTTTTATTTGCGTCCTGCCCGGTGATGGCTGCCTGGCACAGAGGTCAGAGGGAGAGGCAGGTGTGCTGAATCACGGTGGCCCGGCCACACCTGTCCCTCCCCAGAAGGGCTCCTGGTGTTTCCTGTCCACTCTCTCGACCCAGGAGCAGGTCTGCCGGCACGTCGTGTGCCTTCCGCCATGTCTGGTGAACGTGATTCAACACTCAGAGCTGCTCCCCCACCGGGCGGCCTGTGCGGGCCACCAAGAGCGTGAATCTCCAGCCTCAGTGACCCAGGAGTCCAGAGGACCAGAATGTGTGTTCTGCCTCTTGGCAACCCCCAGACTTCGAACCCCCTCACAGTGAGGCCTTCTGGATTTTGTTGTTGTTGCTGTTGCTGCTGTTTGTTGGGGGAACCACACCTGGAGATACACTCCTGACCCTGCTCCCAGGGACCGGTCCTGGCGGGGGTCACCGGGACCATCCATAGTGCTGGGCTCGAATTCTGGTGGGTCGCCCGCAAGGCAAGCGCCCTGCCTGCTGAACTGTCGATCCGGCCCCCTCTGGGAAGACAAAGGGCACGTGTGGCCTGGCGGGTAGTGGGCTGTGGCCGTCAGCTCTTCTGGGGGAGTGTGTCCCGGGAAATGTCTGCCCCCAGAAGGGAGCACTACATACAGCCGGAGGGTGGGGGCTGCCACACTGTGCCCAGCCACTCGCCGCCACCGCTGCCCGGCCTCCTCGGCTGCCCCAGGCCCATTTGTACCCTGGAAGCTTCTCTGAACGCACAGCCAAGGGCTGGGGAAGCCGGTTCCCGCTGCGCGTTTCGGATGTGTTAGCGCTTGGTGTTGTTCTCCTGAGGGAATGGTGGGGGAGCCGGAGCCCACTCGATAGCTGCCCTAGCCATTCAGCCCACCCCCCTCCCGCCCTCAGCTCTGTGCATGGCTTTTATCACTGTTATTAATAATTAAGGGTCTGGAGCTGCTTGTCCAGCATGCCATGGCCATGGCTGGTCCCCTCCCGCGGAGGGAAGGACTCCTGCAGGGCCCGAGAGCGTGGGCAGGGGCTGCCTGGAGTTGCTGTTCTGCAGATTCCCCTTCTGTGTGCTGTGGACAGAGCCCAGGAACCCAGGGTGCTGCCAGCCCTGCCCCTGGCACCTCCTGTCAGCATCTGGGGGCTCTCTGATAGGGCACTGAGGATGGAAAGCCGCTGGGGTCCAAGGCCTTGATGCACGTGGGAGCCGGGGAGGCTTCACGGGAACCTCGGCTGGGGCAGAATGACCTGTGCCCCCGGTGTTAAGGCACCCCCCTCGCCGCCCACGCTTGCCTCCTGGGTCTCTGGGGAGACGCCCACATCCAGTAGTGGTCCGAAATCCTCAGGGTGTTCTCTCCCCGCTGCCTCTCGCGGCCCTTGGAGGTCAGCCTTGGCTGCTCCTCGCCATGTGCTGTGTGGTCCCGCCCAGTACCCCTGGGCACAGTCTGGGACCCCTGACATCCCCAGGGTGACCGAGACGGAGGGGTGTTGGCTGCCCTCTGCTCAGGGGCACCTGTTCTGCCCGCAAGGCCCCGAGGTTTGCTGGGGCCTGGAGTGGACAGGGATGCGTCGCAGTGTGGTCCCTCCAGGGTGGGCTCTCCCCCAGTTATCCTCCTCCTCCTTGGAACGCCAGAGGGAGGTCTCTCTGCTGCAGTCCGTCCTCCTGCACGGCAGGAAGTGGCAGGGGCACAGGGCTGGCTGGGGGCTGCCTGCATAGGGGAGGGGGGGGGCCCGGGCGGCCGTGAGCAGCGCCCAGAGGCAGCTGGGGACGCAGAGCAGCTCCTGACCCCGGATAGAGGGCAGTGCCATCCGCCTCGGGCCACTTGGTCGTGCGTCTCCAGTCAGCCAGCGCATCAGCTGGGCCTCTCCCCAGCTACCAGAGTGCAGGTGCCGGGGCCTGCCCAGAGCCGGCTGCTGTCCCCACGGAGACCGTTCGTGTCCCCAGGGAGCACGTAGAGGACGGGGAGGAGGAGGAGGTGCTCCTTGCTTCTTGCCAAGGACCGAGGCGCCCCCGGGCAGGTCGTTTGCCCCCCGCTTGGCAGCTGGACCTCACCCTTGAACCCTCCTCCTCTGCTCTTTTCTTGCTCTCTTTTTGGGGGGTTGGTGCGGAATTATCTTATTTTGTTTACATTGCACCCAAGTTTCCTGGTACAAAAGACTTGCAGGTGCAAATATGTCCCGCCTTCATTAACTTCCCCTCCCTTTTTAATTTATGTGATTTCAATTTTCCTTCCCTGTACTGTTAATTAGGGGACCCTCTAATCAGTGCCATTATCACAGTGGTATTCATGTTTAGGAAAGCCGCTAAACAAATGCTTGCAAAATTGCTAAATGGCTAATTAATGTCTGTTAATTAAGAAAATTGCTCATGGTAACAAACCATGCCGTTGCTGGCAGCCGCTAGAAAGACACACTTGTTGGAATTAGGAGCGTGGCAGGTACGGAACATCTGCTCCGCGGAGCTTGCCGGAAGTGAGCGGCCAGGAAGCCGGGGCCGCCGTCCCTCTGCCTCCGTCGTCCTCCACTCCTCTGCCCATGCCCACTGCGCTGCCTCCCGTGTGTCCCCCCTCCGTGGCCGGTGACCGGGCTTGGAGGGAGGGGGAAGAGTGGGTCCTGCCCGAGTTTCTCCGACGTGCCCCCTCCTCAAAAAACAGCCGCCTCCTGCCCAGAGAACAGCCTGTCGTGGGGGGAAGAGGCCAGTCCGGCCTGTTGGGGCTGGAGAGGGAGAACCAGGGCTGGTTCGCTTGCCTTGCCCGCCGCTGACCCGGGTTCAACCCCCGTCACCCCAATCGGTCCCCCGAGCCCCATCAGGAGGGATCTCTGACCACAGAGCCAGGAGTAAGTCTTCAGCACAGCCGGGGTCGCCCCAAAACAAGACAGTCACGCATGTCTCTCGGTCTCAAGAGTCCACTTCCTGCGGGCAGACGAGCACCTTGGGGTCATGCTTCATGACCTTGACCCTGGTAGAAAACAGGTTGGTGCTCTTGTGACCTGGGGTGCGTGTGCACGCTTGCTCATGTCACGAGCAGGTGGAGGTGAGCGGCAATTGTCTGCCTGGAAACCAGCCCTCTGGCGCTCTGGTGATGTGGGATCAAACCCAGAGCCTCACATATGCCACTGAGCCGGCTCTGGGCCCTCAGTTCTACTCTTCCAAGTAGTTTCCTTAAAAAAGAAAAAAGGTTGCAACCCACTTAATTGGTTTTACCACCCGCTAATGGGTTTCGACCACAGTTTGACCAACCCCATGGTTTAAGTGAATTTGCCTGCCCACCTCTTCCGGGGCAGTTGAGGTCAACCTAGCCCTGGGCTTGGGCAGGATGGGGGGCGGGGGGGCGACACCAGCAGGAGTGCAGAGCTCAGCTCCTCCACTTCCCACCGGTCAGCCAGCCCACCCACTCACGCAGGCTGGGTTGCAGGCGCCATGTCGCTGCCCTCTACCTCTCCGGGTCCCTTTGCCGAGACTCAGTTTACCTCACCTCTTGGGCTGTTTTCAATGGGCGCATCAACGGAGGGGTCATTGTGAGATTGTGATGGTGCCACCTTCTCCCTCCAGTTTGTTCCTCTCTGTTCCCGCTGGGAGCGGCTCCAGAGAGAGAGAGTGTGTGAGTGTGTGTGTGTGTCTGTTGGGAGCTCTTTGCTGCCCACTTTGTGTGTGTGGTCCCCCCTCCCCCCGTACATCATGGCCACTTGGCCGATGGGGCAGTTCCCTGGGCGTCCCCCGGCCCTCCAGCCTGCATCAGCTGCTTATTTAGCATGGTAAACTGGGTTCCCGCGGTGAGCGGTCGCGGGCCCTCCTCTTGCAGGCAGTGACAAAGGAGCCTGCTTGTCACTGCGTTCCTGGGAGTCAGCCGTGACGTGTCCATCAGCCTCTCCGCGCCCGCTCTCACCTAGGCAGGCATCTGCCTCCCCCCTTTGTTCCTGCCCCCCCCCAAGCCTGCCGCCTGCCCGCCCGCCCGCCCGCCGCTGCCACCCGCCGCTGCCCCCCCCACCTCCGTTTTGGTTGAGTTTTTGTTCCCGGAAGCTTCTCCTGCGCTTCTCCATGTGCTGTGATCTATAACCTGCCTCTACTGTCTGGCTCACAGGGTCCTCCCGGGTCACAGCCCTCGCCGCACGCACAGCCTCCTCACAATCCCAGCAGCATGATGGGACCCCACAGTCAGGTAATGGCCCTGGGCCCCCCGCCCGCCCCGAGGCTCCCGGAGCACGGAGCCCACAGCGGGAGACAGAAAGGGATCAGAGCAGACCAGCTCTCCACGGACAGACACACGGGGAGGGCAGCACCGTGCCCTTGTCCCCGCCAAGATAGATTTTGTTCCCTGGACACGGCACCCAGCTTGGATATAGACGAAACCAAAGGAAAAGACACCCCCCCCAAAAAAAAGAAACAGAAACAAAACAAAAACAAAACCCAGTCCCCAGAACAGCATCTCTGTGACCTTGTCAGCGGCCTTTGCGTTTTTGTCGTTGTCGTTTTTATTTTTCCCTCTCTCACCTTTGGTTTGGTTTTGAGTTTGGTTCACCATCCATTCGTGCCCGAAGCTGCATCTGGCCTTGCCTTTGTGCACTCCCGCTGCTGAGCTGCTCGCCCACCCCCCGCTGCGGCCAGGAGCCCGCTGCCGCCCCACCCCCGGGTGGGTCCTCGCTCTCCCCGCACACCCCTGCCCGTGGCGCCCCGCATGTGTCCGTGCGTGTGCGGGGCCCCTCGCGTCTGCAGCACACACCGGCCACGCTCCTGGCAGCACTCGGCCCGGCGTGGCTGGACCTGCCACACGCCCCAGCCACGGGCGTCCACCCACGCTGGCCCTCCGTGTGACCGGGGGGCGGGGGCGGGGCAGGGCGGCCACCTGGCGTTCCTGCTGTCCAGAGGAGGTCCTCCCGAGGGGAAGAGGCCCCCAGGAGACGATTCGCGGGCACCACCCCCAACTCTGGCGTGGAACAGCCGCGGCGTCTGTCCCCCGCGGGAGCGCAGGATGTCACTGAACAAGTGTCCTGTGATTGCAGCCTTTCATGTCACCGCGCTACGCAGGCGGCCCCCGGCCCCCGATCCGAATGGGGAACCAGGTACTGTACTTTTCCTCTCTCTCTGCCCCTTGGCCAGCCGGACCTGGGGGCACGGGGCGAGGGGCTAGGGTCAGGAGGGGGAGGGAGCTTAGTGTCCGCAGGGTTGCCCGCACCGGTGCGGCCCCCTCTCGGCCCGCCACCTGCCCCTCCGAGAGGGCCCCGGGTGGGTGGGGGTGCTGGGTTGAGCTCCTCGGGGAGCACGGCCAGGCCCCTGGCCCTCCCTCCCAGCCCCTTCTTGGAAGAAGGTCCTCCTCTTTAATGAAGTTAATTGACAACATGCATTTTTTCCTGGAAGCTTTGAGAATTGCCAAGGCTGGTAAATATAATCCTGCTATTAAGGGGAGAAATGGGCCGTAGGAATGCTTAGATCAGGAGCCCGGATGCAGCGGAGCAGGACATTGGTGAGTTTTTAAGCAATGTCTGCCTGCGTCCCAGACCCGCTCACAACAAGACAGGATTTGTTCGCGTAATTGGAAAAGTGGCTTGCTCCCGGGGAGGGCTTTCCGGCCCGGGGCTGGACGCCTGCCTCGGGGCAGCCCTAGGTGGTCTGGGGGGGCGGGGCTGAGGCAGGGGCCCCCTTGGGCCCTCCTGGGCAGGAAGGGAGCTGCCTCCGTGAATAGCCCCTTTTGACAACCGGCCAGCACAAGGAAACTTGCTAGAAAGATGAGGAAGATTTCTGGTCACGCCACAGTGTCTCAGCATGACCTTGCTCGAGTCCTTCAGTCTTGCCCGCGCCTCCAGCCGGTGCCCTTGGCCCGGGCGCTCGGTCTGCAGCCGTGTCGGGACTGTCCATGCCGGGCTCCTTGCCTCAGATGCTGCCACAGGGGTGCCCCCCTGCCCCCGAGCCCACTCAGGGACCGACACAGTGCTCTCCGCCAGGCTCTCGGGGCCGAGGTTCAGCCGTGGCTCCTTTCCTCCCAGAGCACTTTGTTTCCGAGTCTCTCTCCACGTGGAACAGACACGTGTGAAAAGGAAGAACAGGGACCCACTCTTTGCTTGTCGTTCATTGTGGCTGGTTCGGGGGTTGGGGGCCACATTTAGCAGTGCTCGGGGGTCGTTACTGGCAGCGCTAGAGGCCCGCCCGGGCCCAGGCACAGTCTCCCCATCCCGAGAGTCCGTGGTTGAGCAAGAAGGGACACGTGGAGGAGGACCCCGGAGGGGGGCCCTGAGCCCTCTCACACACGCGCGCAGGGCCCTGGGTCTGTGCTTCCAGCTTTCCCTGGGGCTGGGCCCAAGGTGACTCCTATTTGGAAAGGCCCTTCCGCACCGGGGGGCCCAGTAATGTGGGGCCGCGGGGCCACCAGCACCTGCCCCCGTACGCAGACACAGAGAAACCTGCATTGAGCTTCTGCTCTCCTCTGAATGCAAAAACGTTACGTCCTGCGGTCAGGGTGCCCCTCTGGCTGGTGGGATGACCGCACACCGTGTCCCTGAGTGTCCCCTCCCCCTGCCTGCCTTCCCTGTGGGCGAGGGCAGCAGTAGACAGCAGACTGGCCCAGCTCACCTCACATCCCAGAATAGGGGGACGTGTATACACTTTGGGTACCATGATCTGGGCCCCAGAGGGCAGCGCAGCGTCCCTGAGGGTGGACGGCAGCTGGAGGGCTGTGGGTTCAGGGCGGGAGCCCAGACGGGCACAGACTATCCCTCCTTCCAGGGTCCTGCGGGCGCCCCCGAGTGTTCCCCAGCCCACCCTGAAGGGCTGTACACAGGCCTGCAGCCCCACACCAGCCCTTTACCAGCTTTTTTAATTTTTTTCAAACCATTTGGAGGTTTCGCTTCTCCAGATCGGACCCCTGGGCCCCGGCCATGCACACCCCCAGCCCGCCCTGGGCCGCCCAGCAGGGCTAGGACAGGCAGGAGGAGGGAGCACTGCCCACAGACTCCTGGGCTGGTGCAGGCCCCAGCCACTGCTGCACCCAGGTCCCCCAGGGCACACGGCTTTGTGTCCTCTCAGAGTCCCTCGCCAGGCTCTAAGGACGAAAGTGCAGACCCCCGCTTGGACAGGGCCCCCCACACCGTGCATCTGAGCTGGGCCCGGGGGACGGGAAGCGGGCAGGGAGTGTGTGAGGGACAGTGGCAGGGGCAGATGGGAGCCGGGGGCCAGAAGCTCCCGGTCACTGGGCCTGGCTGTGTCCACCCCGCCTGTGTTTCCTCCAGCCCCGAGAAACATCCGTGTCCCCCAGCTCCACTTCCCCGTCAGGCTGGAGCTGACTCGGTTTCCCTGGTGAGCCCATTCTGATGCGCTTCACAGCAGGTGTGCCTAGCAGGAGACCCCCCTGATGCCACCCTCACTGCACCTGGGGGTCTCCGTGCCTCGGTTTCCCCATCTGAATGGCAGTGGCTATGCTGCCCCCAGCGGGGCCTCTCATGGCACTGGGATCTAGCCAGGGGTTCTCCGGGTTCCCCCAACCTAGGGGACGTCTAAAACAGGCATCTCACAGGGACAGGGAGGCAGGACTGGGCTGGGGCCCCTCACTGGGCAGGCTGCAGGTGGCCGGGCCATGTCAAGTCCCCTAGCCCAGCCCCAGGCCCCTGCAGGGAGCAGCCGCCAGCACGGGGCTCAGCATGTCGCGTCTCTTGCAGCCTCCGGGAGGAGTTCCTGGGACGCAGCCTCTGCTGCCCAATGCCATGGACCCCACGCGGCAGCAAGGTAGCGCGACCGCGGTGGGCTGCGTGGGGCGGGCCCTCTCACCCCTCCCCCTACCGCCCGCATCTCACTGCCCCTCCTCTCTCGCAGGGCACCCCAACATGGGAGGATCCATGCAGAGGATGAACCCGCCACGAGGCATGGGGCCCATGGGCCCTGGGCCACAGGTAACAGGCGCACCCTCCCTCCTCATCCGTCTGTCCGTCCATCCGTCTGCGCCCGCCTTCTCTCCTCTCTGCACAGTTTTGCTTCCACATTCCCAGGGCAGTGGACGGGAGGACAGGCCTACCCCCAGCGGCTCTGTGCCCACCGCTGAGCCAGCCCCATGCGCCCGCAGGCAGGGGTGGTGTGGGCCGACTGAGGTTGGGGAGCCACGGGAGACAGGGGGGTCTGCACATGGAGGAGCCCTGTGGGACACTGAGGGCCCCTCCCTGAGGCAGGTGACTGGCGCTGGGTCCAGGGAGTTTGGTGCCCCTGGGACAGTCCCTGAGCAGTGGCCCTAGCCAGTCTCCAGCTGTGGCTGGAGCTCACAGTCTTGGGCTTGAGTGACCCAACAGGCCTCAATTTCCCCGCCTGGCCTTGGGGGCGGGGGCCTGCTCTCCCTCCACGGCCCTTGCGTATGTCTGGATTTCGTGGGGGTGAGGGGGGCAGAGTGTGGCATGTTTTGCCTCCTTGGGGACTCTCGGGCTCTTCTGAAGAAGCGAGCAGTTGAAGTCCGGGCGGGGGCTCCCAGGGGAATGAGGTTTGTACAAGGGTGCCCTGGGGCTGCTCTCTGCCCTGCCCACTGTCCCCTGCGCTGGAGTACTGGGTTGTCAGGGCCCCTCCCCAGCCATGGACAGAGGACACCCACCCCCACTCACATACACGGGTGGGGTCAGGCGCACAGACACAGATGCAGATGCACACACTAGACCGCACACCCCACGGCCCTCCCCAGCCTCTCCCGTGGCAGATGGCAGTCCTGGGACTGTGGGGGTCACACAACAGGGTGGAAGGGGTGTGTGTTTGTATTTGTGTGTGTCTGAGTGTGTTTCTGCGGTGTATATGCTAAGTGTGGTGTGTGTCTGAGTTTGGTGTTTGTGCTGTGTGTCTGAGTGTGGTGTGTGCTGTGTGCTGTGTGTCTGACTGCCGTGTGCCTGTGTGTCTTTGTGTCAGTGTATGTCTTTGTGCGTGTCTGAATGTGCTGTGTCTGTGTGTGGTGTATATCTGTATGTGTGTCTGTGTTTGTGTGCCGTGTGTATGTTGTGTGTTTGTTTACTGTGTGTGTGTTGACTGTGCTGTGTTTGAGTGTGCTGCATGTCCTGTGTACTTGCCTTAGTGTGCTGTGAGTTGGAGTGTGCCGTGTGTCAGTGTGCTGTGTGTGTCTGAGGGTGCTGTATGTGTGTGTCTGTGCTGTGTGTGTGTCTGAAGGTGCTGTGTGTGAGTGCTGTGTGTGTGTCTAAGTGCTATGTGTCTGAGGGTGCTCTGTGTGTCTGAGTGCTTTGTGTATCTGAGGTTGCTCTGTGTGTGTGTTTGAGGGTGCTGTGTGTGTCCGAGTGCTGTGTGTCTGAGTGTGCTGTGTATCTGAGAGCACTGTAAGTGTGCTGTGTGCGTGTGTCTGAGGGTGCTGTGTGCATTTGAGGGTGATGTGTCTGAGGATGCTGTGTGTATGTGTCTGAGTGCTGTGTATGTGCCCGTGTTGTGTGTGCGTGTCTGAGTGTGCCGTGAGTCCTTGTTCCTCGTGGGCAGTCGCCCTTTTCCCTGGCCCCAGCACTCCCTCGTGAAGCAGCTGAATGGCCGCTTCCTGCCACAGGGCCTTGAGCTGCCTGCAGGGGTCTGGGGGGCTGAGAGCTGGCTAGCCTCTGGCCCCCACCCGCGGGTGCCTTGGGGCCGCATCCTGAGGCTGACGAGTCAGGGCCTTAGAGCCCCTTCCTGCATGGCTGCACGGCCTTGTGGCCGGGCGAAATCACCACCTGGGGACCCTCCTTGCAGTGAGGAGGCTTGAAACCAGCCCCCCGACCCGGCACTTTGTTCTGCCCTGGCTGACACCCCAGCTTGTGTTGGGGGCAGGAGCCAGCTGACCCCAGGAAGCCGTCCTGGGGGGCGGCGGGTCCAGAGCTGGCCGGCCGCCCCCGCGTGCCCGCGTGCATTCTCGCTTGTCGGGAAGATCCTTCTAATCCGCAGGGCTGCGGCGTGGAGAGGCGGCGCGCGCTCGGTGCGGATTTGTCGAGAGGATTTAGCTGCTGCGCGCGTGGGCCTGCGATGGGCCCTTTAAGACCCGGGGTTCTGGGATGCTTAAGGCCGCATTAAGGGCTTTGGTGTTTGCTCTGCAGCACGATCCCGATCCGCTCAGGCCTGCCGGGCCTCCCAGAGCCCACAGGGCGGGTGCTTCGTCCCTGCTGCCAGCGTCTCGCCCTGTGCTGGCCGCTCGGGCAGGCAGAGCCGGGCAGGCCTCATCGTTAGTCTGTCCTTTGCCCAAAGCTGCCCGCGCCAGCCTGGCCGTTCTCGGGCCTGGGGCTCTGTTTGCTGGACAGGGGCGTGGGGGTGGCCCCCGAATGGCCCAGAGCTGTGGGCCGCCCTCTGCTCGCTGACCGAGGCTTGTCCTACCCACTGCCCTGGCTGCCGTGTTCTCGCAGCCAGGCCTTTTTGAATTCTGTGTTTGGGGGCCACACCCAGCAGGGCTCAGGACTTACTCTCCTGGCTCTGTCCTCAGAGGGGTCTCTCCTTCCGGGCTCGGGAACCCTGGAGGGCAGTCAAACCTGGGATGGGCCCATGCAGAGCCCTGCCTGCCTAGGTTCCGGGCTTCCTGTGAAGGGTCCCTGAGGCCTCAGCATCCCTGTGCCCCGGGGGTACACACACACACACACACACACACATACACACGCACGCACGCACACACACACACGCACGCACGCACACACAGGTTCCAGGCTTCCTGTGAAGGGTCCCTGAGGCCTCAGCATCCCTGTGCCCCGGGGGTACATACACACACACACACACGCACGCACGCACACGCACACCCTACCCCCCCCCCCCCCCCCCCGCCCGCCCATCTCCTCCTGTCCTCCTTGGTGTGGAATTGGGGGTGGTGCTTTGTGCACGTTTGGCCTCCCAGTGTGTCTGGCCCCAGCAGTGCCCCTTGTTGAAGGGGATTTTGTGCCCTTCGCCCGAGACTCTCCTGTATGAAGGAAGCAGGATCCATGCCCAGGCACCGTGTGAGGCCCAGCCAAGCCGGTGTGTGGTGCGTGGCCGTGGCCCTGTGTGGGCATGTTCGTGCATGGTGTGTGTGTCCGTGCTCTGCGAGGACCAGCCCCTGCCATCCTTTGCCTCAGGGACCCAGGCTGGGCCTCCAGGTGGCCCTAACCACCGTCGAGCTACGGTGCCCACACTCAGAAGGTCCTGAGAGGGCGGGGAGCTGGCACCTGGCGCCAGTGTGGGCTTGGGGCCTGGGTGGGAGGAACCTAGGGCGTGAGCACTGGAACCCTCAAGGAGTGGGCAGGGAAGGCATCCCGAAGGAGGCAGGCGTGGATTGTGGGTTCCCATGGAGACAGCGGCAAGGCAGAAGGGCTGGCGGCAGGCAGCGGAGAGTCGGGCCAGCGGCTGGCCCCGAGCCCTAGTGTCCACGTGGCCTCGGGCTTTCACTCCGGGGGCTGTTTGTGGTCTCCACTGAGTCTCGAGCTGTGTTGCCTGGGATTAAGTCGGGATGACGCCAGTGTAGACCCAGGGCCCACGGGCACCGGAGGAGGGGAGCTGCCCTGTGGGAGGGGCCTGGGGGTCCGAGCAGAGGTCAGGTGTTTCCCCAGCGGGGTGAGCCTGGGGTTCCGGAAGCTTCATTTCAGCCGTGACTGCCCTCTGTGCTGGCTCTGTGGTTCATGTCCCTTCCCCCTCCCCCCACCCCTTTTTCTTTTAACGAATGTGATTTTTCCTCATCAGGTTCTTCACACAGACTAACCCTCTCGCTTCTGTTCTGTCTGTCTGTCTGTCTCCTTCCCCTCTTCTGTCTGGTGCCCCTTCTCCTTCTCATAGACTGACCCTTGGTTATCGTTGCAGAATTACGGCAGCGGCATGAGACCACCACCCAACTCCCTCGGCCCCGCCATGCCCGGGATTAACATGTAAGGCAGCTGGGCCTGCCCCAGCCAAGGGCTCCTGAGTGCCGCCTCGCGGGCCGGGGGCTCTGCGGGCTCCGCGGTCACCTCTGGAGGCGGCTGTGACCTGACCCCTTCAGACTCACCCGCCCGCACGCCCATGGCTCCACGGGGCCAGGCAGGCGTGCAGCCCAGTGACTGCTGGGAGCTTGGGGTTTTATGGGGGGTGATGTTTGATTTTTTTTTTTTTTCGATTCGTTCATTCATTTGGGTTTGGGGCCATACCCAGCGATGCTCAGGGCTTACTCGTGGCTCTGCACTCAGGGATTAGTCCTGGTGTGGCTCGGGGGACCCTTTGGGATGCCAGGGATCGAGCCCAGGGCTGGCTGCAGGCATGGCCCACACCCGCCCAGCTGCCCTGTGGCTCCAGTCTCCTCCCCTCTTAACGGCAGGGCCCGGGCTGCAGCGGGGAGCTGGGCCTTCCGAACCAGGACGTGAGCCGTGGCCCCTCTGGCTCCCCTTTGACCCCAGAACTGGGGGACCCCGGCCCACAAGCCCCTGAAGGACCTGCTCGGTCTGTCCTGCCCCTGGGGCCGTTTCTAGCACCTTCCTCACAGGCTGCCTCTCTTCCTCTCTCAGGGGCCCGGGAGCCGGCCGACCCTGGCCCAATCCTAACAGTGCTAACTCAGTGAGTACCAGGCAGGGCGCCGCTGTGGGTTAGGGAGGTTCCGGTTGCTCTTCCCGCATCCCCGGGGAGCCCCCCAGGAGACACACGGGGGCCCCGGCTGCCTCCCAGGACCCGCTCTGCGGCTGTCCCGGGCACAAGAGCCTCGCCTGGGAGCCAGAGTGGGCTGGGACCTGGACTTGCTGCCGCCTCAGCCCTCCTTGCCCCCTCCCCCCAGGCCCAGGGGGGCCCACGGTGGTTCTGGGTGGGGGTCACGCCGCCAGGTGGGTGCGGAATGGGCTGCGAGGCTAACGCGCATCTCTCTGCAGATCCCATACTCCTCCTCGTCACCCGGCACCTACGTGGTGAGTGTGCTGGGGGGGGGGGTGTCCACGCCCCTTTCCTGAGTCCCCACGCGGAGGGCGGGGGCGGGTTTCCAGCGGGCCCCATTTCTGCTGGGCGCGCGTGAGCTCACCGAGGGGCACGTGTGGGCCGCGTGGGGAGACTCGGCTCCGGTTCTGAGCCGTTTCTGTCTCCTCTGCAGGGGCCCCCTGGTGGAGGCGGCCCTCCAGGAACGCCCATCATGCCTAGCCCTGCAGGTGAGAGGGCTGGGAGGGGGCTGCTCCCTCCTCCCTCCCCCCTTCTCTCTCGCCCCCTCCCCCTCCTCTTCCTCTCCTGCTCGCACACGTTCTCCTTTCCATAGTCTCATACACGCTGCCACGTGCACACACACACACCTTCTTGCACGCGCACTCACACACACACACACACACACACACACCCCGTCTTACGCACACGCCCACACCCGGGCACTTCCTCTTGGTGCATTCTTACACTTGTTCCCCCACACTCTCAGTAGACACTCCACACATCTCCCTCTGACACCCGTTCTCCCTTTTCACCTCTCCCCCCTTCCCCCCTCCCCACACTCGCTGGCAAGCTCATCCTCAGGGGCTGGGGGCTGCCCACCGTGCCCCCCCCCCCCCCCCCCCGTCGGTGCGTGGCCTCGGACTCCGACCAGGCACCACGTGGACAGCTGAAGGGGTGGGGGCTTGGAAGGGTCCTGGCTCCCGGGCCTGCGCAGGGCTCCCGCTCCTGTCTCCCCTGCAGAGGGAGGGCCTGCGTGCCTGGGGGTGGGGGCCTGCGCCCGGCTAAGAATAGCGTCGCCCCCCCCACCCGCCGGGATTCGCGCAGTCCTGAGCTCTGCGCTTGGATTCCTGCCCAGGGGGCGGGTGCCCGCTCCTCGGGAAGCACGCACGCCTTCCTCAGAGAGGCCCCCTCCCTCAGCAAGCACCCGGGGAGGCTGCTCGGCTGCAGGGGTGCGGCTGGTGGCGGCAGGCAGCTCCCGCTCTGCTCCTGCTCCTGCCGCATTCTGATGAGCTGCGTGACCTACATTCCGCCTGGGTCACCGCAGACTGCGCCAGGCGGTGACATGGGGGGTGAGGAGGTGGGGGGGCTGGTGCCCCCTCTCTCGTCCCAGACAGCCTCCGGGGGAGCAGGTTGGCTTTGGAGCGGGGAGACGAGCAGCCCCCCCCCCGGCCCGCCAGCAGCCACCCCACCCGCACCCCTGGCCGAGTCCACACCAGCTGCCCAGACGCCCTGAAACTCTTCGCTTCGGGGTTGAGTGGTTTTCATGGCTTGAATTTTCTGTGATTAAAAAACTTGGTGAATCTTCATTAAATACAAATTAGGCAGAAAATGGTGGTGCTTAGAGGGAATTTTAGGTGATAAAATACAAAAGAACGAGTTCAAGTGCCACGAGTTTGTTTTAATTAAGAAATGAATTAATCACCCCAACTTGCGGGTTTCCACTGTTCCGCAGATTCAACAAATTCCAGTGACAACATCTACACAATGATTAATCCGGTGCCGCCCGGAGCCAGCCGGTCCAACGTGAGTGCTCTCTGATCGGTGACGCGGCGGATCCCATAACAAATCATAATTAACTTCATCAGCTGAGGGGAAAGCAGGTTTAATTGATTTCAGCCACTTGTTACCAAAGATGAGTAAGATAAACCGTCAGGAAAGTGATTAGCTCCGGGCAGCTCGGTTCCCGGTTCCCTGGCTGCGGGCGGGAGGGGCCGGAGGGGCTCGGGGTGGGGTCACAGCCTCCCTGTGGGGACCCAGCCCAGCGGGACCTGGACTGCGGGTGTTGGGGGATGGACCCTGCCCGGGCCTTGCAGCCCCCGCCCTGCCCTGGCCACCGCCACCCAAGGCCTCGGGGGCCTGAAGCTTCTCGGGGGCCCTCCCGTGTCACAGCGCCCCCAGGGGTGCCAGGGACGGTTCCTGAGGCCAGCCTTGCTGTCCAGGCTGGGAACTCCCCGGACAAAAGGAGTTGTCTGCAGGGAAGACACCCACCGGCCTTGCCCGCACAGGGACCCCTTTTCTGCCGGCTTCCAGGAGAATTGGCACCTCCAAAATTGTCTGTGTTTGGCTGGAGGTGGGGATGAGGGTGGTCTTTTGGGGTGCTCAGGTCTTACTGGAGGGTTGCCCCGAGGCACGAGTGTTTCAGGACTTAAACACAGGCTCCAGGGTGAGGGTTTGCGGGGTGCCCTGGGGGTGACCGGAAGCGTGGCCGCCACCCAACTGCCCCTGGCCTCCCTCTCTGCGTGCTCAGACCAGTCTCTCACCCTGGGCCTGGGCACCCGAGGGAGAGACTTCCCAGCACCCAGAAAGGTCTGGTCCGTGACAAGGCCTTTCTGAGTTGGGGCAGAACAGCGTCCAGCCCAGGATAGAGAAACTGAGACCCAGGGCTTGGCAGCTGGCATGGGCTATGCCTACAAGAGGCACTGCACAGACAGCAGCCCCAGGGGCTGGAGGGAGAGCCCCAGGGGCTGGAGGGAGAGGGCACGGAGCGGGCACGGGCCTCGCCAAGGAGTCATCTGTGAGGACAGAGCCAGGAGTCAGTCCTGGGCACAGCTGGGTGTGACCCAGAAACCTGCCAAAAGAACAGCGGATACTGGGCAGCACGGGCGGGCCTCGGCCTGTGCAGGCCCTGACCCCACGCTGGTGGCCCCTGTGTGTCCCCGGGCTCCCAGTGGTCACTCCGCTGTGGCCTCTGCCCAGGGTTGCAGCACCGGGCTGCAGCAGTTCAGCCTGGACAGCCGCCTTCCGTGTTGCACTCCCCCGGGGAGAGGCTGCCTCTGTCTTTTCTCTGAATTTGAGTTGGGGGTCCGCCAGGGCCCGGGGAGCGGGACGGAGAGGGCACGTGGTTGGTGTTGGTTTGGTGGTTCTGAGGATCAAGCCACGGGCCGGGCCTGCAGCTTGCCGTGAAGTCTCGTCCTGGCCCCTGGGTTTTCACACTGGGAGTTGTGCAGGCCTGCCCTCTAAGAGGTCGGTAACGAAAACGAGGAGGAGCACTGTTGGTGGGGGATGAGGCCAGGGCAGCAGCTCAGTGGCTAAACACTCCGCGACTTTGGGCGCAGAGACCTGGGATTGATTCTGCAGTCCTGCGGGGACGCTCAGTTCCTCTGGGGACACCCTCCTTGTGGCGGAGAGAAAACAGTCTTAAGGCTGGGAGCTGCCACCTTCCTGCACTCGTGTCCTCAGAAGCGAGCCTGCCGGAAGACACTGACGAGTGACGGCTAAGGGGCGGCGAGGCCCCGCAGGACTCTGCCCTGCTGTGCAGGAGGAGAGTTCGGTGGCATCCGACTGCCTGTCACCAGTTCAGTTCTCGGCTGTGCCTTGAGGCCAGTGCCCCCGGGAGAGCTGTGAAACAGAGAAAGGGGTGCGTGGGGAACAGGCGTCGTAGAGGGGCAGCCCCACTGATGAGCCCAGAGAGGATGCGCCCACTTGGTGGTGCTGGGGGTCCGTATGGTGTCGGAAATGAAACCAGGGCCCCCTGCACACTCCCCCACACTCTCCAGCTCCGTGAGCCAAGGCTTAAAACTCAGTAAGAAGAGAAACCCACCCCACGGCCCCAAGTAGGTATCCCCCAGTGGTAGCCCTTCCCCCAGGCGAACTTAGTGGCAGCGACGACACACACGTGCTGTTGTTGGGTGGTCTCGCTGTGTCCTGGGGTGTAGGACAGGACACCCTGTCTTTGTGTGTGGCCAACCCCGGTTCAATCCTTGGCACCACCAGGTGTGACCCGCAAATCCCCCGACTTGGAAAATGTGACGTTGGTTCCCAGGTGGCAGCCCTGGAAGGTCGTGAGCCCCCCTCCCACCAAGGCTAGTCACTGGTCTTGGCCCCCTAAGATCCTCTGTTAAGGAGAGAGGCCTGATTGCAGCTCCAGCAGGTCCTGGGCCTCCTTCCAGACTGGTCTCCACTTGCCCTGCCGTCTCTCCATTCGCTTCACGCCCTGCCACCGCCTCCAGGCAGTCTGCTCTGGTTGCTCTGTGCACAGCCCTCTGGAAGCACTCCGCACACCTGTCCCGCGGGCAGAGTCTCCCTACCTCTGCCTCAGAGGCCAGCCCGCCTCCATTCGCTGTAGCCGCTGCCCTTGCCCTCAGCGTGGCTGCACCCCAGGCCCTGGCTCTCCAGACGGGGCTTGGTGGCTGTGCGTGTGGCCTCTGGCCTACGTGGCTTCCTCCGGGCTGAGTCCTGTGGTGGACATAGGACTGAGCCAGGGTCGAGAGCTCCGTCCTGCCATCTCCCTGTGCCGTCTGTCCACGAGGAGGGGTCCCCGCCTCGCCCCTGCAGCAGACCTGCCCTCCTGCCCAGGAGGTCCTGGGGCTTCCCGAGAAACTCCCCCGCTCTGTGCTCTCGGGGCCTTCGCTTCCCTGGGCTGTGTCCTGCGGGAATGAGCCCCTGGGCCTGATCCAGGCCTCTCTGCTGGGCGCTCACGGGTGGGGGGGGTGTGAGCTGCTGCTTAGCCTGGCGTGAGCCCCGCCCCCACCCCGCCCTGTGCTTCTTTCTCCCCAGTTCCCGATGGGTCCCGGCTCGGACGGCCCCATGGGCGGCATGGGCGGCATGGAGCCCCACCACATGAACGGATCTCTAGGTGAGTGCCCAGGCCGGGGGCGGGGGGCATGGGGGTGGGGGGCCGGGGCAGCGGGCAGGCGGAAGCTGAGCCTGTGCTTTCTCCTGCAGGGTCAGGTGACATCGACGGACTCCCCAAAGTGAGTGTCTCCCCTCCCGCCCCTCCCCCGGGGGGTGGGCCCTGCTGGGCCGGAGGCTCACCCCTTCCTCTCCGCAGAACTCTCCCAACAACATAAGTGGCATTAGCAATCCTCCGGGCACCCCGCGAGACGACGGCGAGCTAGGAGGGAACTTCCTCCATTCCTTCCAGAACGACAATGTAAGGAAGCACGTTGGCCCTCCGCGCTGCCAGGCCCTTCGGGTCCCCCTCTGTGCTCCTCCCGGACCCCCTCTGTGCTCCTCCCGGACCCCCTCTGTGCTCCTCCCAGACCCTCTGTGCTCCCGGGTCCCCCTCTGTGCTCCTCCCAAACCCCCTCTGTGCTGCTCCCAGGTCCCCTTCTGTGCTCTTCCCGGACCCCCTCTGTGCTTCCAGGTCCCCCTCTGTGCTCCCGGGTCCCCCCCTCCTCCTCGATCCCCCCACTGCCCTACTTCCAAGATCCCACCCCCTTCCTCCCGAACCCTCTGTCCCCCTTCCATGTCTTCAGACCTGGGGGACTGTTCCTTTCAGGCCATCGTGGTCCCATCAGATATTTCCATACCCCAGATGCAAAGCCCTTATCATCCTCCCTGGGGAGACAGGGGCCTCTTACCTTCCTCCCCAGAGCGGCCAGGGCCTCTTGGGGTTGCCTGCAGATTCGAGGCCTCTGCACCGACTGGGCCACGGTGTGTGGGGGTCATTCCCACTGTCCAGGGAAGAAGGTCCCAGAGCCTGTGAATTTCTCTCGGTGCAGAGGACCAGGCCAGACTCACTGTGATGACTGCCGGGGCTGGCTGTTGCCCCAGCAACACCAGGAGATGGGAGGAGAGAGGGTCCGGGGGGTGGGAGCGGGCGCTGTCAGGGTGGTACAGGGCGGCCCAGCCCCACCTCCCCGCTCACCCTCCTGTGCTCCTCCCCCAGTACTCCCCGAGCATGACGATGAGTGTGTGACCCCTCTTCTCCGAGACGCTGAGAGACGCGACTTTGCAGGCGGGAAGATGCCGGAAATTATGCAAGAAGACGTGAGGTGTCGCTTCCCAGGAGCCGGGGGGCATCTCCCGGCCCCCCACCCTCTCCACTCCCCCACCTCCCCCAACTTGAGTTTCATGCAATAAAAAGGCTGAACTTTTTATTCCATAAAACGTGAAGGACAGAACGCAAATAAAATCCGTTTCAAGTCCATGCCCAGAAGCCCCCTCGCACCCCGCCTTTCCTGGAAGGACTTTTTATGTACATGACACTTTTTCGTTGTTTTTTTTTTTTTCTGGTTTATTTTTGTTTTGTTCGTTTGGGGTTTTACTGTTGTTGGATTTTTTTTTCCAATGTTTTCAGGGTTTTGTTTTTTCAGGGTGGGGGGGTGATTTTTAAAATGGAAGCTTCTAGCAAGTCCCCACCCACCTCAGCATCCTTTTTGCTTTTTTTCTTTAAAAAAAACAAAAACAAAAAACAACAAAAAAAAATGAACGAAAAGGACAAAAAAAAAAATAACCAAACCCCAGCCCACCCTGACACCAGGCTGCCTGCTGCCTGCCCAGCCCCTCCAGGACGCCAGACTGAGGACCCCAGCGGGTCCGGAGCCTCTGGGAAGGAAGAAGGGCTCGTAGTGGCCGGGCGAGGGACGGGCAGGCGCCCGCTCTGGCCTTGCCCAGTTCCTCCCGCCCAGGGGGTGCTCGCAGCTGGACCCTGTGGACCCGTGACAAACTACACCCCCATTCAGTGGCCTGCAACGCTCGACGCCGGACACCTGAGCACTCTCCGGATCCCTCCAGGCGGAGACTGTGGCCCCAGCACCCCCTGCCCCCCTCAGCGAGGATCCCACCCACGGAGGGGGCTGCCCGCAGCCCGGCGGGGAGGCTGAGACCTGCACCCCGGAAGCAGCTGGAGTTCCGGCTTCCTCTGTCTGTCTGTTTTTTTCTTTCTCCTTCCTTCTCTCTCGAGGATGGGCGATGGACCAGGATTGCTCTGTACGCGCTGGGGCCTGGCGGGAAGAGTCGGGACTCGCCGTGGGGGGCGGGCGCTGGGCCCACCAACCCAACGGACATGCTGTTTCCGCTCCTGTTTTTACTCTCCAAAACCGCCTTGCCACGGTGGAGCCTGCCCCCCACCCCCCAAGGAGGGGAGCCCCCCGGAGCTCCCCTCTCCTCACCGCCCCCGATGGGAATCTGTGTGTCTTGCCCTGAAGACACCCCAATTCTTTGTACATTGACCCCCGCCCCCTCCCCTGTAGCTGGTCTTTGTTTGCCCCTTTCTGATCCATGTATATCATATTATGTGACATACCATCTGCCTGAAAAAAAGACCTCGTGCGGATTATTGGGAACATCGTAGCTGTTTCTGTGTTTTTCTTACCTTGTAGTCTGGTTCTGAATTAAGAGAGGAAAAAAAAAGTAATTATGAGACATTGTAGTTTGTGTACGATATATGTTAATAACGTTTTATTAAAGGGACATCTTTTTTCCGCAGCCCTTCCTGCCATGTTTGGGGGGAACACGGGTGGGGAGTGCCCGGTGCTGACCACCAGGTGCCAGGTGGCTATGGGGCTAAGTGGGGGACCCTGGCACTCCCTGCAGCGGGGTGCCGTGTTAGCCCCCCCACGGGGCCCCCTGTTCTGCATCTCTGCAGAGTTGAATGTGGGAGGCAGCGGGTGGGAGCAGACGCTTCCGCCCCAAATTCCGGGGGACACTCTCCTTTGCTGGGAGTCGGGGTACCCGGTGCCGGGCGACCACAGCTGCCCTGACTGGCTCTCAGAATTTGCCTTGGGACACTGGTTCGTTAGGGTTCGGTTTCCTCAGTGGGACCATTGAAGGCTTTTAAGAGCAGCAGTTTGAGGAGAAATTCAGAGAACCGGCTGCAGGTTGCACCCTGGAGGTCCGAGGGCTGGATGACTTGGAGGGCCCAGTTACCACCGTCAGCCAGACCAGCTGGCGAGGGTGCAGGCGCGGGCAGGAGCAGCACGGGGCCAGTCCAGCACCCTGCCAGCTGGGAGGCCAAAGGCAACCCCACCAGGACCGGCAGCCGTCACTCCCACTCCTGCCTCCTTGGGGCCTCGGAGCCTCTCTGCTGTGTGTCCTGCGTGACCTCCACTCCCTCCCCTGCAAAGTGGGCCTCGTGATCACTTTGACTTCTGGAGGGGCTGGGGAGCAGAGCCAGCTGTCCCTGAGGGAGGCCCAAGCTCCTGAGCACCTTCAGGTGTGGCCCCAAATAAAGGTTTCACTTCCTCCTTGGTGGCTGTGGGGCTGTTGTGTGCCTGTTGGTGGCAGGGCCCTGGCCTGGGCCCCCTGGAGAAAAGGGGTCAGAGCAGCCGTTGCCAACCCCTGCTCTGTGGGCTGAAGCCAGGCGCATGACTGGGAAGGTGGCCAGGGCTAGTCTAGGAGACCCCGTTTCACCCTTCATCCACACACTGACTGGGTTTCCCCACCTCAGCACAGACTTCTGTGGACACAAGTGGCAAGCTGTGAGTGGCCTGCCCAGCGCCCTTTGGTTTGGGGGCCACAACCCGTGGTGTCCAGGGCTTAATGGTGGTGTTCAGGGTCTATGCATGGTGCTGGGGATCGAACCCGACTCTGCATGCAAGGCGAGCATCCTCCCTGCTGTACAGCTGCTCCGGGCCCCCTCAGCTCTGCAGAGTCCTCCAGCCATTAGGGCCCAGCTAGCACAAGAGCCCCCCTGTGCCGGAAGGCCCACATACAGTCACTTCCACCGCGCGACTGGCCCCCGGCAGCCTGACCCCCAGAGGCAGGGCTATGTGAGGGGTCGCCCCTGCCCCTTGGAGGGCTCTCACTTCCGTTCAGGTCCCCCTTGCGGGACCTGAGGGAAGGATTACAGGCATGGGGGACGCCAGGCACAGCGGCTGCTTGTCTGACTGTTCTAGGGAACATCCACCCTGGATGCCGCAGCGTCCCAGCCCCGAGTGGGGGGCATGGCTGCAGACCTGCGCCTCGCTGCCCTCAGCCAGGAAAGGGCCCTAGGGCGCTGGCAGCAGCTCGGCCCAGCTCCCAGGAGGGATCTGCCCGGGGCTGAGTGGAGCTGGGGCTTTGGGACTGGGCAGGGGGAGCAGGCAGGAAGCAGACATGCCAGCAGCCCGTCCCCAGGCTCACTGGCACCAGAGTCACCCAAGGGACTGAGTTGTGTCCCCCACTGCCTGCCTGCCCGCCTGGGCGCTGGATGCTCAGTCCCTCCCCACCCACCCCCCATACACGGTTACCTGCCTCCCCCCCCGCCCCAGCAGTGCTCTGCTCTCTCCTGCCTGCAATGAGGGGTGGTCCTGGACCCTTCCAATAAGTACCTGCCTTCATGGGTCAGGCAAAGGAGGACAGGGCTGCTTTTTTGCCAGGAGGGGGTGGGGAGCCCATGCAGGGAGGGAGACCCCGGGCAAAGCCCAAGGGGCAAGCTCAGGGCGAGCCTGCAAGTCAGGGAGTTCGGTGGGGGCAGGAGCCAGCCTTGGCGTTTGCATGGTGCCTGTGGCAGAGCGGAGGCTGGAGAGAGACCGCGCCAAGGATGGGCCCGGGGTTCTTGGGAAGAAGCCACCGAGCAGGGAGCAGGGGCGCGAGCAGCAGAGGGTGCTGCCCCTCAGCCCTGCAGGCTGCCCCCTACCCTCAGGGGTCCTCAGCACCTTCCTCCTCTCAGCCGCGCCCCCACTCGGCCTGTCTTACTGGCCACGGAAAAGTCAGCTTGTAAGGGCTGGAGCAGTAGTGCAGCAGGCAGCAGGATTGCTGGCCCGGGTTCGATCCCTCGCACCCCACAGCAGCACCAGGAGTAACCCCTGAGCATGGAAGATGTGCCCCCCCCCCCAAACCAAACACAATAGTAAATAAAATCTTTTTTTTTTAGAAGAATCCAATTTGCCTGGAGCTAGGTGTGAACTCTTGAGGGGCACAAGCCTCACAGGTGTCAGGCCCTGGGCAGGACCCCTCCCTCCAACACACACACCACCACCACCACACACACACACACACACACACACACACACACACACACACACTGCATAAGTGCAAACACTGCCCAGGGCCCAGGGCTCGCTGAGGCATGGCCAGGGGTCCTGTGTGCGGGCACCAGGCTGGTGCTCCTCTGCCTGCACCCCGCAGGTGTTCTGTGGAGGTTAGTCCCAGAGGGTTCTGGGTTAGTCACCCCTGTACCCCACCTTGCCACATGCTTCCCCCTGGGGTAGCAGAGAGGCATTTCAGTTTGGCGCCCGGAGGTTCTCTGGGGAGCATGTGGGGGTCCCAGCTCATGCCTCCTGTATGCAAAGTGTCCACTCAGCCCTTTGAACCACCCCACTGGATCCCAACCTTGTTCTACCATCACCCCAGCCACGCGGGGGCTCCCAGGTGAGGCTGCTTCTCTGCTTCTCTGAGGCGTGGGGCCGCCCCTGAGAGCACTGCTGTGGGGAGCCTCTGGTTCTACTCCACCCCCTTGGTGTGGTTCCACCCTGGAGGCCTGAGAAAGCAGCTGGCCCCCAGGATCCTTCCCCTGAGAAGGGCCTTTGTGGGAGCGGCCCTGGGCAAGGGCTCCAGCTCAGGGGCAAAGGGGACGGACCCCCAGGATTCCTCAGGTCTCAGCCGCTTACCCCGAGTCAGAGCTGGCACAGCCCTGTAAGCACTGCCGGGGGGTGAGGTCACTGGGGTCTGCAGGTGGGGCCCCCACCCCAGGTGCCCTGCTCAGAGCCAGCACATCTCCTCCCCCGACCGCCCCCTGGCCACTCCCCCAGGGCTCCCAGAGGCCCAGCATCCCTCCCTGGGGGCTGGGAAGACACTTCCTTGGTGCTGAGGCGCTGCCCATGGGACACTCAACAGCTTCTGTGAAGCTCCCAGCTGTGTAGTCTCCAGGGCACCCGCCCGTGCCCCTGCCCACCCAGGTCCCCTGCCCATATTCCTGCCCGCCGTGCCCCTGCCTGCCCCTGCCTCAGGGCTCTCAGGTGTACCCGTGCCCCCTCCCTCTCTGTCACCACCTCTACATGAGGGCCCTGGGGGAAGGGAGCACATGGGGGCAAGGTGCCCAGGCAGGGTGGGCATCCAGCGCCATATAGCAGACCCACGGGTCAGCCACATGCTGAGGGGTCTGGTCCCATCTCCAAGGAGGAAGTAGGAGACGCGGTCTAAGGCCTGAGGGACAGCAGTGCAGCCCCAGGAAGCCCCAATTTCTGAAAACCCCGGCCGGCCAAATCAGAGCCATAGTACCATGGGTAGTGTTTGCCTTGCACGTGGCTGACCCGGGTCCGATCCTCAGCACCCCATATGGTCCCCCAGCCCTCCAAGAGTGATCCGTGAGCACAGAGCCAAGAGTTAGGACCAACGGGGCTGGAGCAATAGCACAGCGGGGAGGGCGTTTGCCTGGCACGTGGCCGACCCGGGTTCAATTCCCAGCATCCCATATGGTCCCCCGAGCACCACCAGGAGTAATTCATGAGTTCAGAGGCAGGAGTATCTCCTGTGCTGAGGACCAACGCACGACACCCAGCCAAACCTTCAGCCCCACCTGCTTGAAGCCAACATGGCTGGTTCTGAGGGCAGCCACGAGGCTGAGCAGCTGGGCTAAGAGAAGCAAGTCGCCAGGAGAGGCCTGAGGAAGGTCCCAAGCACTTGAACATGAGCAGCGGTAAACAGCCTGCTGTCCCGAGAACAAGGCCAGGGCGGGCCCTCTGGAGCAAGCTGTGTCCACCCCTTCCACAGACTGGCCAGCTCCTGGCCCTGGACAGCAGAGGGTGAGGCAGGCAGCACAGGGCTTGGGGCACACCTTTTTCTCTGCAGGGGCCCTGAGGCAAAGCCCACAGGCCCCTCACTCGGCCGCTCAGAACCAAGGGCAGGAAAGGGCAGTGGGTGCCCAGGCCAGCCAGCAGGGCCAGCCTCGCTGAGGGGGGGCTGGCCCGGGACACACGGCTCCTTCCAGGGCCCCCTGTCCCGGGCGCACTTACTCCCGCAGGCCGCCCGGCTCTCCTCTTGCTGCTCCTGGCCTGGCCTCACCAGCCCTTGTCCAAGAATGACCGCGGCCTCCTGCCAGCTCCGAGCACGCCCACCTCGCTCTCTCCAAGTCTCTGACTCAGCAGTTCCATGGGGAGGTTTACCCGGTGCTGAGCTGGCGGGCTCACCCGCTGGCCACGGAGCAAGGACGCGGCACTGGCTAACGGGCAGGTTGTGCCCACCAGCAGGCAGCTGGGCCACTGCCCTGTAAGCAGGGCAACAGGAAGAGCATGTTCTCACAGACTGACGTGGAGCTTCGGGCCACACCCGTGAACCCAGGCCCCCAGTCCTGCCCAGAGCTACGCTGCAGGCACTCAGGGCCACCAGCAAGCCCGGTGACAGGAGCACCGGTCTCAGGGCGGCTCCTGCTGGTGCTTGGCTATGACCGGCCAGGGGCCCGCAGAGGCCTGGAAGCTCCCCTGGGAGCAGGGAGCCTGGAGCCAAGCCTGGTCTCTGCGGCCCAGTGCTGCCCCCTTGGCCTTTCCCAAGCTCACGCTGCACAGTGCTTCCTGCAGAGGCCAACATGCACGTGGAGTGGCCTGCGGCAGGGCCCGCACATAGCAGGGCATCCCAGGGACTGGCGATAGCACTGGAGACTAGCCGAGACAGGCAGGGACCTGGCATGGTCGGTGCCTGTTGCTGCAGCAGCCCGGATGCACTGGCCTGTGGCCAGGACACCAGAGGCGTCTGGGTGGGACATGTCCCCAGTCTAAGCTCTCCCCAAGAACGGGCAGAGTGCGCGCGCGCACACACACACACACACACAGAACACACACACACACACACACACACACACACACACACACACACTTCTTCGTCCCAAGTCTCAGAGGAGGAAAGTGAAACCCCGGGAGAAGATTCTCATCCAAAGTCACAACCTCACACCAAGCACCAGCTACACACACACACACACACACACACACACACACGTCTTCTCATCCAAAGTCACAACCTCACACCAAGCACCAGCTCCACACACACACACACACACACACACACACACACACACACACACACACGTCTTCTCATCCAAAGTCACAACTTCACACCAAGCACCAGCTACACACACACACACACACACACACACAACCCTGGGAGAAGATTCTCCTCCAAAGTCACAACCTCACACCAAGCCACAACCTCACACCAAGCACCAGCTACACACACACACACACACACACACACACACACACACACACACACACACGTCTTCGTCCCAAGTCTCAGAGGAGGACAGTGAAACCCCGGGAGAAGATTCTCATCCAAAGTCACAACCTCACACCAAGCACCAGCTCCGGGGTCCTGGAAGCATGGGAGGAGGCTTCTTTATTGCTCTACTGTCAGAGACCCCACCGGGCCCAGGATGCGGCTCCTCAGTGGGTGACATCGGGGCTCACAGCACCATGCAGGTACAGGGCTAGAAACTTCCTGAAGGTCTCTGGCTGGAAATCAACTGTCCCAACGGGTTCCTGGAAAGAAGACGACCCGTTAGACTGCGATGAGGTCTCAGGGCAGCAACTTTAAATGCCCACAAGAATGGAGACCAAGGGAGTGGGCACTGTGGGGGTCCTCAGAGACCAGGGGAGTGGGCACTGTGGGGGTCTTCCCAGACCAGGGGAGCGGGTGAGGTGGGGTCCTCCCAGACTGAGTGGGCGCGGTGGGGCCTGGCCGCAGAGGGCACAAAGCATCCAGGCACCCCCTGGCCAGTCTCCTGCTGCCCGGGCTCTGCTCCCCATGGCCCCTCACTTCTGCTGCCCCACCCCCTCCCCCACTCCCACCCCTAGTGGCCTGCTGCCCCTTTCACTCCTGGGACGGGGGTCCCTCCCTCTCGCCACGGCCCACAGCAGGCACCGTCTCTCTGGACTGGGCTGCATCCAGACTGAAGCCGCTCTGAGAAAGTGACCACGGAGGGTGGAGGCCTCCAGGGCAGCTGGGGAGGAAATGACTAACGCGCTGACCCAGGACGGGTGAATGAGGAAACGAATGAGAGTCTCCTGGGCAAGTCGAACGGGGGATGCAGAAGGCTTCAGAGACCAGCCGCGTCGGGGCCCAGGGAAAGCGGAAGGCGGGGGCCAGGCCTGCACTGGTGGGGACGGGCTTAGGCGGAGAGGAGGAGCCGCGGCCCCAACCAAGGCTGTCACGGGCCCTCACCCCAATCCTGCTGCCTTCTCAGGCTGAGCACTCTGACGTCCTACTGTGAACACTTTTTTGTGTTCCGGGCCACGCCCTGCAATGCTCAGGGCTTACCCCTGGCTTGGGGGAGCCTCCGGGTTGCCGGGGATCAAACCCAGGTCGGCCACAGGCAGGGCAAGCGCCCTCTCCGCGGGATAGGGCTGCGGCCCTGGACATTCCCATGAGAGCGGCCCACAGCAGGGAGGGGAGGCCTGGACGGTCAGCTGGGCCCGGTGGGGACCGTGACCAGACCACCACGCCACGCTCCGGCTTCATGGTGAGAAACGAATAAAGGAACAGCCACAGGCCCACCCTGGAGGTGCGTGGGGCACGATCTGCTGGAGAAAGGCCTGTCGGTGGGCAGTGACACTGCGTGGCCAGGCAGGGAAGGGGTGGGGGGCTACGGGAGCCCCGCCGTGCCCAGCACTTGATGAGGCTGGATGTGGGGTGCGGGATCACAGAGGGCCTCCCAGATGCCAGGACAGAGACAGGCAGGGGGGGAGGTGTGTGGGGGAGGGGGCAGGGAGGGATGGCTGTGGGCGCCGAAGGGAGCTGGCGGGGGTTTGGAGCCAGCACGCCAGGGAGAAGGGGTGATGGGGGCGACGGGCAGCGGCCCTGGGCACCGATCCCCAGGCCAGCGCGGCTCCGGGTGCCGAGTCCACCAAAGGCCAGGGAGGCGGCACTCACCACAACCACCTTCTTCCGGATCACCGGGCGACACCAGAAGTGCTGGTAGAGGAGCTGGTCCGAGTCCAGCCACACCAGGTTCTTGACGCCCTCCTCGGAGGCCAGATCCGTCGTGTTCAGCTGCAGGACCAGGAACTGGAAGACGCGCCCGTCAGTGCCCACGCTCTGCACCACCACCGGCTGCTCCAAAACCCTGGCGTCAGGCTGCGGGGAAGCGGACGGGGGGGGAGGGGGTCAGAGCAGGAGCCAAGGCCCGGCCCCAGGCTGAGTACCAGTCCGCCTGAGAGCAAACGGCAACTCGAGAGGGGCGCCCACCAGGCACGTGCAAGGCTCTGGGCTCCATCTCTGGTAACAAGAGGCCCCTGGGCACCATCACGGGAAGGGCACTGCCGGCCATGAACACACTCTGCCAGGAGAGGCTCTGAGCCTCCCGCACGGCCAGCTGTGGTCCCCACAGTGTCGACCAATCCACTGTCATCCACTGTTCTCACCATGGGATAGGCCTGCTCCCTTCACCCGCCTGGGCGGTGGCTCTGGACCCTGAGAGCCAACTGCCACGGTGCCAGTGCAAGAAAACCCCCCACAGTCATGGCGCCGAGAGAGTCTATGAGTCAGGCGTCCCATCCTGTCGGACAGCGGAGGGTGCAGGAATCAAGCATCCCGTCCCGTCTGACAGCAGAGGCAGCAGACAGGCTGAGTCTGTGGCAAGGACGTGTCTCGGGGCCCACAAAGCTGATGGGAAGCCCGCCTGTCTTGCTCCTCAGGGCTGGCACCTGGTGCCATTGGTCTCCAACGGAGGCCTGACCGGGTCAAAGGTTTGCGCTGAAGCGTCCCCTAAAGTGGTGGCAGGATCAGGGCTTCACAGGGTAGCACTCCTGTGCTTACTGGGTGACATCTAGCAGTCCTGGTGGGTACCAGGGCAATGCCCTTCCCCGTCTCCCCAGGTGCCCTCAGCCCAGTGGCGCAGTGCCATCAGACAGGACGGCTTCACTGTTCCCTCAGTCGCGCCACCAGACCCGGCCACCCTCCACCCGCTCACACCCAGCGCTCACACCCGTCCCCAGGGCCGCGCCCGCGTCTCTCCCAACAGCATCCCCGTGCGACCGAGAACCCCACCGCTCCCGGGCCACCCGCAGCGGGTGGGGCAGCCCGATGGTGACAAAGACGCCACCAGCAGGCCCGCAACGCTGAGCCCCCGACTCCAAGGTGCAGCCGGCCTCTGCCCCCGGACGGAGTCTGAGGTGAGGAGCGAGGCGGCCCCGGGTGCGGCCACGCGGGATGGCTGGCCTCAGACACACCTGCTCTCGGCGGCACGAGAAATAAATAAAGAGAAAAGTACCTCTAAGCGTTCGCTGAGAATTCCGTATTGACTCTTATCTCTCTCTGCAGATCAATAAAACTGCAGGTAGTACATAAATTTCTCAGCAATTTTACCTTTTACACAGAGACTCTTCCCATAATTGCTCAACTTCACATCCCCAGGAATAATCTGGACCCGGAGGGGCAGGGACGCTCTCCTTCCCCCCCAACTGGGTGGCAATTAGAGGCAGAGCCTCCCTGGGCGTTACTGCCAAGAGCTGGCACAGAAGCGCCAATGAGCCTTCAGGCTCGGGGCCTGGCATGCGACTCTCTCTGCCCAGAGTGGGGAGCAGGGCTGCCAGGGACCTGGGCTCCCTCTGCTGCTCCCCCACCCACCCGCGATTCGACCCCGGCCCTCAGAGTCGTCAGGGACAGAGACGGACAGGAAGGCAGGTCACAGCGGTGCTGGCTTTGGACAAGTCACCTGTCTACCCTGAGCCTGGGCATCTCCACCAGTGAGATGAAGCGAACAGAACCTGCCGCGACGCAGGGACTCTACCGGGATTCACCACGTCAGCGTCAGGCTTGCCCGCCCCAGCTCGCAGCAACACCTGGACGCTTCCTGGCACAGGAAGACATGACCTCTCCCTGAACATCTGGGTCCTCCCCATCCCCAATGTGAGTGCTCCGCCTCCCCAGCCAGGGTGAGTGCTCCCTTTCCCCAGATGGGGAGTGCGTGCCCACTCCCCATCCTCCAGTGTGAGTGCTCCCTCCTCCTTCCCAGGGGGTGTGAGTGCTCCCTCTCCCCACACAGGGTGCTTGCGCCCCCTCCCTGGGACAGCCCCCGCCCTGCCCGCAGAAGGGAACATTCTGCATCATCCTCCAGGAGGCCATTGGCTCTCAGGGACCTTGCGGCAGGCAGGGTTCTCAGAACCCTCCACCTCTGGCCCACCCCCAAGCATACAAGAGGCTGGTGCTCCCACACCAACAACCTCCAGAGCCTCTGCTCCCAGGCCTTCAATTTCTCTTTCTTTCTTTCTTCCTTCCTTCCTTCCTTCCTTTTTTTTTGGGGGGGGGAGGTCACTCGAGTGCTCAGGGGCCACTGGGGTCACACCCAGTGCTGAGGGGAGGGCAGATGGTGTGGGACCGGATGTGGACCCCAACCGTGCAAGCAAGCCCACACATTGCCCGCCTGCGCTCCTCCAGCCTGGAGAGTTCTGACCCTCCGACACACGGCACCGTCTGGTCCCAGGGCAGGCTCTGTGGCCGAGGGCTCCCGGCAACCACCTAACAGAGCCACGGGGTCCACGGGGTCCTGCCTCCGTCCAGGTTTCATTTCCTCCGCCTGCCCCGTGGGGTCTACCGTGACAGAGCAGGGGCAGCTGTGGAACAGAATGACAGTCCCGGGCCCGCGGGTGGCACACCTGTCCCCACGCAGAGCTGGGAGAGGCTCAGCCCCCACCAGGACACAGATGGCGCAGACCGCAATGAACGCCGAGGGGGGAACGGTGACCCCCACGGGAGGGGCTGTTAGTCCATCTCCGTGAGGCGGGAGAAGGCGGGAGACCCCCACGCCAAGCTACTCACGTACCCCGTAGCGGAGCCGGGCCTGCACCAGGGCACTGCCAAAGGCAAACAGGATCATCTTGGCCCGCAGCTGGTCTGGCTGAAAGCGCCGTGGCCGGACGTTGGCATTCTCCAGGAAGTACAGCGTGTGCGGATGCGGGTAAGGATAACCCTCCCGGAATCCTGCGGGGCACACAAGAGGTGGCGCGGGCTGCAGAGGGCGAACCAGCCAGCCCTGAGGCCTCGGGTCAGTCTCCTTCACTCGGTGCAGGGGCCAGAGACGCAGCGATGTCGGGCTCTGTGGTGGCAGCGCAGGGGAGGGCACACGGCAGCAGCCCGGCCCGGCAACCCTGGCCAGGAGCTGGGAGCGACATTTCTCCCGCAGCCCCACCACGCCCACTCACCCGCAGGCCCGACGGAGACCCCAGGGACAGAGCCGGGAGAACCACAGTCTGGACCCTGCCAGCCCCCACGGGCAGTTCCTGCCCGCTGGCCGACCCAGCCCCTCTCTCTTACATTCACGACAAGGATAACTCAAAATCCAGAGTTATTATCTAGTTTGGTTACAGTCTGGGAGGCCTGGGGTCACGTCAACCAAACTGGCAGATCCCCACAAGGGCCTGCAGCTGTGGGGTTCCACCCGGCACCCAGCATCAGCTCTCAGGAGGGCCATGCCAGGTGGGTACCTTCTTGGCCACCACCAGGGTCCTGAGATCTTTTTTTTTGCTCTCTGGACCACACCTGGCGGTACTCAGAGGTAACTCCTGGCTCTGCACTCAGGAATTACTCCTGGTGGTGCTCGGGGAACCATATGGTTGCTGGGGATTAAACCCGGGTTGGCCAAGTGCAAGGCAAACGCCCTACCCACTGTACTATCACTCCGGCCCCTTGTGGTTATTATTTTTAAAAGAAATACGATAGCCCAGCAGGTAGGGCGTTTGCACTCAGCTGACCTGGCCGACCTGGGTTCGATTCCTCTGCCCCTCTCAGAGAGTCTGGCAAGCTACCGAGAGTATCTTGCCCACATGGCAAAGCCTGGTAAGCTATCCATGACGTATTCAATATGCCAAACACAGTAACAACAAGTCTCACAACGGAGATGTTACTGGGCCCGCTCGAGCAAATCAATGAACAACGGGAGGACAGTGCAGGGCTACTGTATCGGGGCCTCAGTGATGGTACAACAGGCAGAGTGCTTACTTTGCATATGACCAACCCGGGCTCAATCCCCGGCACCCAATAAGGTTCCCCGAGCCCCACCAGGGGTGATCCCTGAGCACAGAGTCAAGGGTAAGCCCTGAGCACCAGCGGGTACGGCCCAGAAAGCATGGGGTGAGCAAAGATGAGATAGGTCCGGGGGGAGGGAGAAGATGAGGATGAGGCCCGAGGGAGGAGCCCGGTCAGACAGGTGGGCTCCTGGGACAAACACAGGGTCCGGCTCCACCCACCAGGACAGGAAGGCGGGCAGGGGAGGTGTGGGATCAGGTCTGTGCTCCGGAAGCCTGCCAGGACAGGCGGCCAGCCGGGAGGAGGCCACGGCCACAGGCTGCGGAGACCTGGGCCGCAGCTGTGAGACAGGCCCATGGCGACACCCATGGTAACGAAGTGGACAGCAGGGTCAGTGGGTGGTCAAGGCTGACACCTGAGTTTCGGTCTGGCGAGGAGGCTGGGGCCCGGTTTGGCGGGGCCTGAACAGCACCCTTGCCAGTCTGAGGGCAGCCTCAGTCCTAGAAGGAGCGGCCAGTTTCCAGGGTGCACGGAAAGGAGGCAGCTTTCAAAGGGCCTGTGAGTGGGAGAGAACGCTGAGTGCAAGGTCAAAGCCCGCCCAAGACGGCCGGAGAGAGGGACACCTGCCTTGCACATGGCCAACCGGGTCCCCAGCATCCCATATGGGCCCCAAAGCATCGCCAGGAGTAATTCCTGAGCACAGAGCCAGGAGAAAGCCCTAAGCAACACCGGGTGGGACCCGAACCTCCTTTCCCCCAAAAAGACCACCATCACAACTCTGACAGAGGCCAGGCAGATGGCTCAAAAGGCAGCCCTGGGTGTGAGCCCCAGTGTCGCTGGGAGTGGCCCCAAGTCCCTCCAGGTTTAGATGTCCCCCATAGCAGTTACTTCTGGTTACTGAGAGCGGTCGGCCTGAGGCAATCACAGTGTCTCCCCGAGTCTGCTCCTGACCCGGAACACGGGGGTTAACCATCTCTGGCTCCGGGGGCTGCTGCAGGCACCCCCGAGCCGGGGAAGGACCAGCCCAGGGGAAGGTCCAGCTGCCCTCCACAGCCAGTCCTCACCTGCGTCATCCGTCACGTCGTAGAGGTTGCACTCCTGAAGGCCGATGGTGGGAGAGATGGGGTAGAAGGTCTCGAGAACATGATTCTTAGTAGCTTCGACCTCTTCCCTAGAGGCGACGGGGGGCAGGGGGTCCTTGGCATACAGTCGGGCGCCGCTGGTCCCGTGGACCTGGAGGAGAATCGACTCTGGAGGGGAAGAAACGCCATCAGTCCCGCCCGGTCTGAGCCTTTGCCAGCAGAGCTGAAACGCAGAGGCTCTCAGACCCATTTGGACCTTCAACCCCTTTCCGGGGCGGGGGTGGGGGAAATCCACCTCCTTTAAGTGAACACGCAGAAAGCTGCCCTGAGTTGCACCGTGACTACCACGGGCCCCTGGATAGCTGAGCACCCACCCTGGGGAGCGCTGGTCTAAAGCCTGCGCCCGGCCACGTTTCCCAAGCCCGCCCAGTCACACTGCAGAAACCCACCTGGGGAGAAGTGCTAAACCTGATGCTCTCACCAGAGTACCTTGCAACACCCCCCCTCCCCGCCTGTGCCCCTTGTCCAAGACTCCGAGGACTGCTGGCCTCTGTGGGTCCACGGCTCAAACTGGGGACCAGAGACAAGACTCTTCTCTGCTCTCAACATGCTCACGGGATGGGGAAGCCGCCCTTGGGGAGACGATGGGGGGGGTCAGTCTCCCAACAAGGTGCGAGGGCCAGGCTTGGCCCACTCACATCTGGGACCTGAAGTCCCCCGGGAAGGCTGTCCTGGGCACCCCGGGGGCACCTGGCAGCACTCCCAGCCTCAGCTCACCAGATGCCAAGGGAGTTTCTGCCCCCGCCCAACCCTGGCTCCAGTCAGGGCAACCCGAACATCTCCAGACATCACCCAGGATCTCCCGACAGCCAATGAACGGGTGAGGGTCTGCTGGGCAGAGAAGGGAGAGGCCAACATTCCTGACCAGGGGAGGTGGCAGGCCCGGGAGGCAGCTCAGAGCACGTGCCCCCTGGCACTGCGCAGTCCCCTAAGCACCCAAAACCTGACAAACTCAAGGAGGAATGCCAGAAACTCACAATGAAACTCGGAACTGAGCATCTCACTGCAGAGATGCCTCCAGACCTTGCAGCAGGCGATTTTACCAGGGTACCTCAGAGGAGAACAGGTATTGCCCCTCCACCTGCCCCTTAGGAATCCCGGTAGCCACGAACTTCCAGAGCCCAATAAAAAACCCAGGTACGCGGGACCAGTGACTCCGAACTCCAGGCCTCGAAGAGCTGGGAACAGGGTGCCCCTCACCATCTCCCTGCCCCTATGGGGTCCTGGCTGTCACGCCCACCAACTGCCTCCGGGTGCCACTTAAGCGCCTTAACAGCCTCGATCCAGAGATTCATTTATCTAGAACCCAAGCAGCTCGCTGCAGAGATACCTCCAGACCCTAATTATTTAAAACTTTAGAATTCCAAGAGCGCACAGCCACCAGATATCTCATGCTATTCATGACAGGCAATACAAGATAAATTATCCAACACCTGCCTGTGGGGCAGGCTTGCATGGTGGTGGGGAAATTCGAAATAATGGTGGTGGGGAGGTGCGATGGTGGTGGGATTGGTAATTGAAATATTGAATGTAATAAACTACTGCGAACAAATTTATGAAAATAAAATTAAAAAAAAAAAAAGGCAGGAATGCCACCTGCAATGGCCCAGCAGGGCCGACTCCAGGGAAACACCCGCCAGTGACAGGTGTCCGGAGGAAGGAGGGAGGGACAGACAGTGACTCCTGAGGCAGGCAGCCGGGTAGGCCAGACCCTGGAGGCCACTGCACTCCTATCAGCAAGTCCAGCCCCCAGAGAAGCAGCGTGTGCGGGAACAGGCGGGCACTGACCGGCACTGACCGCAGCAGGCTTGGACAATCTCCCCAGGCGGGATAAGCTGCAGAGGTGGTGGGGAGCTGGCCAGGGACTGGGCCGATGAGCCTGTAATGACGGGCGCACCCCCAACACTGGCCCTGAGTCATCCCACCCTTCCCCTGCGGTGTGAAAGGGCGACACTGTTGTTGGGGGCACACCTTTCTCTGTGCTGACGCCCCGCGCCCCAGCGCCCCACATCAGCCTGCCTGTGCTTCGTCGTGGCTGGTTGTGAGGATGGGCATGCCCGGCCGTCGGCTAACGTGGGATTCTCACCCCCACAGCCTCCACCAACGGCACCCAAAGGGGGGGGGTCTCAGTCCAAGGTGAGTCTTGACGGGTCGAGCAGTCCTTTATTAATAAGGTCCAATGACTCGTCATGGGGCTGGGAAGTCCACACTCAAGGGGCGGCAGGACAAACATGACCACAACGTCCTGACCACCCCCAAGGGTTCCACGATGCCCCAAGGTGCCCCCAGGGAAATCCCACGTTCCCCAACTCCCCTCCAGAAATACTCGGGCATCGGCACTCATTCACCCGTGACCATCCCCGAGCTGAGTCAGTGCTGCCACCCGCGGAGCCCCTTAGTTCTGGGGACCAAGACAGAACAGCGGCTCGGAATCACACGAGCGCGACAGGCCCTGGGACAGGAACTGGCCAGAGAGCGCGCGGCCGGCCTGTGGTCAGGGAGGAGGCACCCGAGCGGAGTCTCCTGAGGAGCACGAGGAGTGCAGAGGAGAGCAGCCCAGACAGAGCCACAGCACGCGCAAAGGCCTATGGGTAGAAAAGCTCGGGCCCCCCACTCCCCGGTTGAAAAAAAAACCCAAAAGCCAAAAACCTGCCAGTGGCTAAAGGGAAGGCAGGGCAGGAGGGGAGACCAGGAAGCTGAGGGGGGCCAGAGCACAGGGGCGTGGGCTGCCCTCACACAGGTTCGGCTCTCGGAGCCAGAGGACAGCAGGAAGGGAGCGGTGAGGGGACGGGCTCTTTAGAAGAGAACCTCGGCAGCCGTGTGGGGACGGATCTGGAGGAGAAGAGCACAGCGGGGAGGGCGCTTGCCTTGCACCAAGCTGACCTGGGTTCGATCCCCAGCATCCGCGTGGTACCTTGAGTCCCTGGGTACAGAGCCGGCAGTAAGCCCTGAGGACTGCTGGGTATGGGCCAAAATCAGAAAGAGAGAGGCAAGGAGGATGGGAAGGGGGAGGGGGAGGGGGAGAGGGGAGAGAGAGGGGAGATGAGGGAGGGGAGAGGAAGAGAGAGAGGAAGAGAGGGAGAGAGGAGAAAGCATCCACGGGCACCCACAACCAAACCCGAGTTCAGTGCAGGCAGAGGGTGCTGGTGCTTCCTCGCTTCCTTCTCGTCGCCTCTGGGGCACTTGTAAGCATCAACACATCGGGGTGCGTGGACAATCTTGGCCAGCAGCGCCTTAAGAACAGGCAGGGCGCTGGGGAATGAGGCCCGGGTGTGTCCAAGGACTGGGCTCATGAAGGACCGGAGGGAGAAGAAATGCGACCTGGCGGAAGGAATGAGTTGAAGTTGGGAGAAGAGACTTTCTGGAAACATTCGATGACCAACCTCGACTCCAGGTGGCGGACAGGGAGGAGTTCTGGGCGAAGACGCGCCTGGCCAGCGGAGGGTGCTTGAGAATCTGTGACTTACACAGCTGGATCAGACTGTCCACGAGGACAGGGCTGGGGGCACAGAAGAGGAGACAGGGTGAGCGACACACAGCAGCTGAGCGGGCCCCGGGGTGACCCTGACGCAGGAGAGACTCACCAGTAGGACTTCCTCTTGGGGATGTCCTCGGTGGAGTGCCAGAGGCGCGCGTGGGAGATGGCGTTGAGGACACGCTCGTCTTGGTCCTCGAGGTGGTTCCTGGGGTCGCCTGCGAGGCTCAGCACTTTCTCAGGGAGGCCTTCGATCAACTTGGCTTTGGTTAGCCACAGGGCCTGCTTGACACCTGCGGGGCCGTTCACAGGAAAAACAACTCAGGAAGAGGTGCTCAAGCCTGCTGGGGAGGCCGCCTCGACCAAGCAATGGGGTCTCCGCTCTGTGACATCTGCAGAGTCAGAGCCGAGAGCCAAGCGGGGCAGAGCCCAGCTCAACTGCAGGAGAGGCCTTCTTCCTCAGGGCCACCAGCTGCCCAGAGAGCTAGTGCACACCAAAGGAGCATTCAAACAGCCACCTGGGCAGCTGCATCTGGCAGCTAAGGGTCCGTCTTACTGCCCATGGGATCCAGCAGGAAGCCCTGGACAGAGACTGGGTCAACAGATGCCAACCAGCCAGAACCTAGATCCTGGACAAGAGAGATAGGCCGGGGGTGGGGGTGGGGGGTTAAGGCACTTGCCTACATGCGGTTCAACTCCCAATAAGGCATGCGGGCTTCTGAGCACCTCCAGAAGTGATCCCTGACCACAGACAGGAGCAAGTCCTGAGTACCACCAGGTGTGGCCAACAAAACAAAAGCCAAGAAAAAGAAAACAAAACCCAAAACCTAGATCACTGCTATTTTTTTTTAAATTTTTATTAGTGAAACACCATGAGGTACAGTTGTAAACTTACAAATTTCTGTGCTTGGGTTTAAGTTATACAATGATCGAGTACCCATCCCTCCACCAGTGCCCATTCTCCACCACCAATGATCCCAGTATCCCTCCCACCCCCCATCCCCCATCCCACGCTGCCTCTGTGGCAGGGCATTCCCTTTTGTTCTCTCTCTCCTTTTGGGTCCTGTGGTTGGCAAAAGAGGCATTGAGTGGCAATCATGTTCGATCTATAGTCTACTTTCAGCATGCATCTCCCACCCTGGACAGTAGATCACTGCTATTAACCGGCACCTCCACCAGACAGATCTCGTGTGTAAGGTGTGGGTCCCTGGGTCAGAGCTGGCTTAGGCTTTCAGTAGTAATTTACTTCAGCTCTTTTAGTAAAAGGTAAAAGGTAAAGGCCCTCCCGTTGATCGTCGATCTGCTCGAGCGGGCCCAGTAACGTCTCCATTGGAGACTTTGTTGTTACTGTGTCTGGCATATCGAATACTCTCGGTAGCTTGCCGGGCTCTCCGAGAGGGGCGGAGGAATCGAACTCGGGTCGGCCATGTTGGCCGCTTGTAAGGCAAACGCCCTACCCGCTGTGCTATAGCTTCAGCCCTTTTAGTAGGATGGACTAATTCCTAGTTCCACTTTCCGCCAAACCCCGCGCGTCCTTAAGGGAAAAGCGGGCACAGCTAGCCGCCGCTCCCGAAGCCCGTAGTCACTTCTCTCAGTGACTGCTTCGGCTGGCCAGAGGGTTGGGGTCTGCTCTGGCTGGCAAGCCAGGTGGCATCCCAACCGGAAAACACCCTTGACACAGACACAGATCCTCCTCTGAAAGCCATGAGGGAGACTCGTTTGTTCAAGGCTCACAGACATCAGCAAGACAATGATTTAGAAACGTAACTTGGTGCAGCAGAAAAGCACTTAGACTGGGAGGGGCGGAAATCTGAGTTCTGCCTGGACCTTAAATCTGAAAGTGGATAAAACTATGGCTTATGATTCACTGGTATCCGGAACATGCCCAACAGGCTCATCGCCACTGCAGGCTTGGGTTCCAGACAACAGCAGAAGAAAAAAGAAAAAAAAAAGTGGCAATCAATCAAGCACATCCCAGGTTGTGTTGGTGTCCCAGGGCAAACGGATGTTTTCGTATGTCTACTTGCGTCCTTAAGGGAAAAGCGGGCACAGCTAGCCGCCGCTCCCGAAGCCCGTGGTCACTTCTCTCAGTGACTGCTTCGGCTGGCCAGAGGGTTGGGGGCTGCTCTGGCTGGCAAGCCAGGTGGCATCCCCGCCGGAAAACACCCTTAACTGTGCAGTAGCCTGACGCCTGAAAATGCGATTGCCCGGCGGAGCCAAGGCTTCTGTGATGGACCGCATGCTTTGCAAGCAGGACCCTGCCCACCGGGGAGCAACCCGAGCACGGAGCTGGGAGTCTGCCCTGAGCACTTTGGGGGGTGCATGGGGGGTGCAGCCCAAGAAACAAGGAAGTCAAAGCTGCTTCTTCCCCTTGCAAAAACAAGGTTCCCCTACGGACCAGGGGGCCCCCGGGGACCCCCACCCCCACCCCGCCCCGCCCCGCCGCGGCTCACCCTCCAGGAGGCGGCAGCGCTGGTGGAAGAGGTGGCACGGGCGCTCCCGGTACAGCGGGTGCTCGCGCGCCGGCGGCGGGCGGCGGAAGCGCGGGTGCTCCCAGCCCGGCTCCCAGCGCGGGAAGCGCGGCCGCGCCAGCCCCGGCACCACGTGCAGGCGCCCCGCGTACGTGATGGGCTCCAGCCCCGGGATCTCGTACACGCGCTCCAGGGGCGCGGGCGGGGGCTTCCGCGTCGAGCGCACGCCCCACTCGTACGCGCCGCGGCTCGGGGCCTCCGCGCCCCCGAGGGCCGCCCGCCCGGGCCGGACCAGAGCCCTCCGGCCGGGCCCCGACGCCAGAGCCATGGCGACCCCGCCGCCCCGGGACCGCCACCTGGGCGCCGCCATCTTGCCGCGCGCAAGGCCTGCCGGGAGCGACGGGGGCGGGGCTCCGGAGCGGGCCGGGCGAGTGGCGGCCACTCTGACCAATCGCTGGCCGGAGTTCCTCGTCTTGCCCCACCCCCCGGCCGCGTTCGGGTTCTCATAGGCGGGGCCGCCTCTGGGGGCGGAACCCGGAGGAGCCTCTGCTGAGGGCTCGGTCGCCCGTGTAGGTGAGTAGTGCCAGGGGGCCGGGGTGAACCAGGGCAAGAGGCCCAGCGCTTCCGGTTCCAGTTCGGTGCCCTGTCCAGTGCTTATGAGCAGTTGGACGGGGCACCTCCCCTTGCGCCCGTGTGTCCCTGGCTTAGTAAAAGTAGAGATAGAAGTGTGCATGGCAGGGGGCCGGAAAGACAGTACAGTGGGTAGGGCCCTTGCCTTGCTCCTGGCCAGCTGGGTTTGGGCCTTGGCACCCCATCTGGTCCCCAAGGCCCGCCAGGAGTGATTCCTGAGCACAGAGCCAGGAGTAAGCCCTGAGCACCGCCGAGTGTGGCTTTCAAATCAGAAAACCAAAAAAGAAATTTATTGAAAATAAATGAATCGGAGTTTTGAAACTGGTGGTGAAAGGAGATAGTAGAGTGTGTACTTTGCATGCAGGATCCCTGCCAAGTTTATTCCTTGCCTGACCTTGCAGGAGGGCTCCCGAGCACTGCTGGACGCTGGAGCCCTGAGTTGGGAGGGAAATATCCCCCAGCACTGCTGGATGTGAATAGGAAGCCAAAATAACAATGATAATAACAATGATAATAATAGGTAAATAAAACTCATGACTCACATGGCTAATTTCTGCGACTCTTCCTGGGGCAGCTGTCCACAGTTCACAGCTTTCTCTCTCTCTCTCTCTCTCTCTCTCTCTCTCTCTCTCTCTCTCTCTCCGGGCTGAGGGGTTTTGGGTCACACTTTTGGTGCCAGACTGGGGCTCAAGGGACCATATGCATTGCCAGGGATAGAACCCTGGGGTCAACCACATGCAAGGCACGTGCCCTACCCACTGTACTATCTCTCTGGCCCCAGAGCTCTTTTTCTCTCACACCATCTCACAAAACCCTGAGGAGTAAGAAGCTGGCATAAAGAGGGGACTAGATTCCTTTCCCGTGTGATACGTCCTGGTCTTTAGCACACAGTAAACACAGGTTAAAGTGATAAAATACCATGCTAGGTGCAAACTTAACGGACCATCCTATTTGCCTCTGCTGTATCCTAGCCCTTAGCCATGTGCCTTGCTCCCAGACCTTATTTTTAAACTGAACGTGCATGTGTCACTTTCCAGAGCAATCTGTATGCCAGACCTATGCTAACAGTAGAATATTGAAAGAATAGGATGCCTTTCCCACAAAGGGGCCCGAGTCCACCAGAGCGTCCTGATGTTGTGAAGCTCATGAGCTGTAGAATCAGGTCTTCCTGCAGTAAAAAGAAGAATTGCATGCAGAGTGACTGCCCTTCTCAACCCTACCATTGCAGGTGGCACAGGACTTTGCCAGGGAGCGCTGCGGGCCCTGGTGGGAGGCATGCATCCACATCTTGAGGCTGAGGGGAGCTGGTCCTGGTTGCTGCGTGGGCGACCGGTGTGGCCGGAGCGGGTGGCAGTGTGCTGATGGATGGAAGGAGGGACTAGACGCTCAGCCTTTGGGCCATGAGACGTTCCCACGTCTCGGGGCCTGGGAAGCAAGGGACCACCTGAGTTTCCTGCAAGTCTCCCTGCCTTCCTGCATTTGGGTGCCCCTCTGCTCTCCCGCACCCTTGGCCTGTGCCTCAGGCCTGTAACGGTGTGCAGGGATAAAATGAAAGCCTTGCAGAAGTTCCTGCGGGCCTTCAAAAATCCTGCAGGTTTAGCCTCGGGCCCGATGTCAGGCCAGTGCTCTGGGAACTGGAGATAAAGATGCTCACGGTGGCTCTTGGAAGTGTGAGATCCAGTGGGGAAGCATGAAGCAGGTTCCGCTCACCCTGCTGAGCACCCAGACTCGCTTGCCAGGCACTCCCCCCCGACCCCCAGTGTTGCGGTACAGTGAGGAGGGCCTGGCTTCCCTCCCCCAGGCTCTGCAGGCGCTGAGTAAGGCCGCACGAGGTGCCTGGCCCAAACTCCAGCCTAGGAAGTGACCCCTATTCTTTTCTTTTTTTCTTATTTTGGCTTTTTGGGTCACAACCAGAGATGCTCAGGGGTTACTCCTGGCTCTGAACTCAGGAGTTACTCCTGGAGGTGTTCGGGGGACCATGCAGGATGCTGGGGATCGAACCTGGGTCGGCTGTGTGTAAGGCAAATGCCCTCCCCACTATACTATCGCTCTGCCCAACCCAGTTGCTCTCATGGGTGTTTGTTACCTGTTTAGAGGAAAACCCGTCCTCCAAGCCAGCACCAGGAAGGCAGGCTGGAAAGAGAGGAAGCCAGAGACTGGAGCTCTGAAAGGGAGCTAGTTATAGCTTAGAGGAATGATGCTGACATCGAATAATGTTCTGGGACCTTCAACTCACCCCCAGCTCTATGCTCGGGCAGGTTGGAAGAAACACGCCCACTTTTTCACTGGCCTATGCAATTTAAGTGGAAAGTTTGCTCAGAGGTGAGATTATCAGGTCTTTGTATGAACATGGAGGTTCACACGTGTATGGAGAACCTTGACAGCCCCCACACCCCAAAGTGCAGTGATTCCTGAGTGTAGATCCAGGAGTAACCTCAGCACCACTGGGTGTGGCCCAAGATAGCTAAGGAAAAAAAAAACTTGATCATTTAACTTTTCCTCACTCATCTGTCATGTTCTGTTATCCAATATCCCTGAAGCTTCCTTCCTTCCTTCCCTTCCCCTCCCTCCCTCCCTCCCTTCCTTCCTTCCTACCTTCCTTCCTTCCTTCCTATTCACCCAGAGCACGTTTAAATGGCCACTGAAATGTCTAGAAAGCTGATCTCTACCCTCCAGGAATAAGCAGCTCAGAGAGAAAAGAGAACACAGTGTGCCATTCAGAACCAGGTGAAATCCTCGAATAGTTTTTTTAATCTGTATCGAGATATTGTAACTTACAATGGTAGCTTCATACAGTCATCATTCCAACAGCACCTCCACCCCCAGAGCACCCACTTCCCTCCACCAAGTTGCTAAGGCCATCCCCAACACAGCAGGAAGTTCTATGAACCAGCTCTCCAGTTCCGTTGTTGCCTTTGACCCTTTGTTGCTCCCTCATTGTATACCTGTAAGTCCCACATATGAGTGCCATCATTCCATGTCTCTCCCTTTGCTTCTGACTGACTTCACTCAGCGTGATATCCTCCAGTTCTGTCCATGTAGAAGTAAATTGTTTGATTTTGTTCTTTATTACAGCTGTATAATATTCCATTGTGTTTGTCTACCACAGTTTTTGGATTCATTTGTCTGTGGCTGTGTGTTTGGGTTGTTTCTATATCTTGGTTACTGTACTGAGTGCTGTGATGAACATAGGTGTTTATTTGAATTAATGGTTTTGTGCTTTGGAAGTAGAGGCCAAGCAGTGGTGTCACTGGATAACATGAGAATTTTATTCTTACTTTGTTTTGGGCCATACCTGGCAGTGCTCAGGGCTTACTCCTGGCTCAGGTTCAGGGATCAAAACTGAGTCAGATGCATGCAAGGAAGATAACCTACCTGCTGTATTAAAACTCTAGCCCAATATTCATACGTTTTTTGAGAGAAGTTTCCATATTGCTTCTTCTAGAAGTTGAACCAGACGACATTCTCATCAGCAGTGAATGAGGGTTCCTCCCTCACCACAATCCCCTAACACTGCCTATTTCCAGGAGTTTAGGTATATGCCAGTGACACTTGAGTGAGCCGCTGTCCCATTTAGTTTTGATTTGCGTTTCCATAACCGTAAGTGATGGTGAGCACTTTTTCATGTGCCCGTTGGCTATCTGTCTCAGAGATGCCTCCCTTTGAAATATATTTACTGAGCACCTTGGAGGAGCTGGCCAGGGGGCAGTCAGTGCCCACGGGGGCGGGTGAGGCCAGGCAGGCTTCTAGGACTTGTGCTGCCCGAGTCTGCTCTCCCCTGGCCCACCCATCCCTGCCCTGGGGGTCTGTCATTTTCCGAGCTCGTTTTGGGGGATGAAGGTGTGTTGGGTCGTACCCAGGGTGCCCAGGAGCTATTCTTACTCTGTTCAGGGGTCAAACCCAGGTTGGGCTCATGCAAGGCAAGTTCCTTATCCCTGTACTAGCTCTCCAGCCCCTCATTCACCAAACATTTAAGGTTTTTTTTGAGGGGGGACTTTTAGGGTCACAACTGGCAATGCTCAGGGGTTACTCCTGGCTTTCCCCACAGAAATTACTCCTGGAGATGCACGGGGGAACGGTACAGGATGCTGGGGGTTGCACCTGGGTTGGCCACGTGCAAGGCAAACACACTACCTGCTGTACTGTCACTCCAGGTCCTTTGTTTGTTTGTTTTAATTTTTTTATTTTACAAACATAAAGTAATTCACGATACTTGATTACATTTAATATTCAAATACCAATCTCACCACCATTACATCTTCCAACCACCATATTTTGGGTGTTTCCATCCCAAACCCCAATCCCTGCCCCAAAACAGAATCGAAATAATACAATATTTCCCTCTAAGATTGGTTGCCTCCTACTTAGAATCCCATCAAATGTGATTAGCACCTGGTCCAGGAAAAGGTTCACTCGTGGGTGAGTCTTGGCCGAGAGCATGGCGGCGGTTGTGTTCTGGAGGTTTTCAGCTGCCAGAGCTGGGTCCCTTGGAGCGGGGAAGGGGTCTTACCCGCCCCCCTCTGGGGGCGCCCCAAGTGAAACAGCCTGGCACAGGGTCCAGCGGCATAGTTATTACCCTTTTTTTTTTAATTCTTGATTTTTGTACCACTCCTGGAGGTGCTTAGGAGTTACTCCTGGCTCGCCATGCAGGGATCACTCCTGGCAGTGCTCAGAGGACCATATGGGATGTTGGAGATAGAACCAGGTCAGCTGTGTGCAAGGCAGACACTCCGGCCCCTCTCCAAACTCTTAGACCTAGACCCCCATAATCCACCTGCCACCTGCCTCCCTCGCGCTGAGCCCATGGTCTCCCCCAGCCCTCCCTGATGCTCCGCATTTTGTGAGCTCACTTTCTCCCCGAGCATCCGCGGCAGTTATCAGGATGTCTGTGCCACCCTGCACCCCATCGCCCCCTCTCACCCAGACCCCCTCCCCGTCCTATTTCTTTCCCGCCGCTGCCTGGCCAGGCCTGGGCACAGCTCACCTGGACCAGATGCTGCTGTGCTTCGCTGGAGCCAGCCCTGTACCGCCCTCCTCGGAGCCCGCAGCCTTGGGGAAGTGATTGACTCTCCCTTCTCCCGTCCGTGAGACGACACCTCTGCTGCTTGGCCTTGTTGGAAAGAGTAAATGAGGCGTTGCTCCCGGGCCGCGTGTCGCCAGCCGTGCTGAGTGACAAATCCCAGCGCTCTCACAGTCTGTTCAAATACAAGGAAACACGGGCAAAGCTGAAGGGCAGGGGGCCCGGTGGCAAAGAAAGGTGGTAAAATTGGGGCAGGAGGGGCCAGAGCGGTAGCACAGCGGGTAAGGCACTTGCCTTGCACGCGGCCGACCTGGGTTCGATCCCCGACATCCCATATGGTCCCCTGAGAACCCCCAGGAGTAATTCCTGAGTGCAGAGCCAGGAAGAGCCACTGAGCATCGCTGGGTGTGGCAAAGCAACAAAACAAACAAAACTAGCACAGGGAATAGGATATGACAGGCACGCGCCCACCTGGGTTCGATTCCTGGCAGCACCTGGCCCCGAGAGCACTGCTGAGTGCAGAATGCTGCTCGGTGGGGTCCCAGAGCCCCCAGCACCTTTGGGGTGTCCTGCGCATCCCCAGCACTGCAGGCTCAAATAGCACCCTTGGGGCCTCGCATGAAGCATCTGGCAGAGTTGGCTGAGTCACAATGGTCGAGACCGGGGCCTGGGGGCTGGAGCAATAGCACAGCGGGTAGGGTGTTTGCTTTGCATGCGGCCGACCCAGGTTCGATCCCCGGCATCCCATATGGTCCCCCGAGCACCTCCAGGAGTAATTCCTGAATACAGAGCCAGGAGTAGCCCCTGAGCATCGCTGGTGTGACCCCGGCCCTCCTGGGCACTATGTGAGAGCCCCCCATCGTGCCCTCACAAAGGAAGCTGCTGGAACCAAGAGTAAGGAAGGGATGGATTGTGCCAGATCAGGGTGGTGCCGGAGGTCGCACGGCTGTAAAGCGGGTGTCCCATCCTCAGCCCTGGCTGGGTTCTCAGTGGTGCAGAAATACCGGGGGTTGCCTGGGGCTGAGGGTGGGGGTGGTCGGGAAGGGAACACGGGAGAGGCCTCAGGGGTGCTGGCATGATTCCTTCTCCCTGGGCTGGAGAAATAGTACACGTTAAGACCCTGGCCCTTGCACAGAGCTGACCGCTTGCTTCACACACAGCTGACCTGGTTTAGTTCCTGGCCCCACACATGTTTCCTGTGCGCTGCCAGGAATGATGCCTGAGCACAGAGGCAGCAGAGCTGCGAGCAGTGCCAGCCTTGGCCCCTAAACCAAAAACCTAAGAAAAGCAAACCAAGGTCCTCCACGCCTGAGAGATTCAGGCTGACAGAGAGGGGGCTGGTATTGAAGTAGCCCAAGGGCAAGAAGACCACCGCTCTGTGAGACGCAGGTCCTGAGCTTTGGAGAAACTGAGGCACCACCCAACGGAGGGTGGACCCCTCAGAAAAGGAGAAGCCACGGGGGGTGGAGCAGAGCAGCGGCGCAGTGGGTAAGGCGTTTACCTTGCAGGAGCCTCCCTGGTTCGGTTCTGTATGGGCCCCCTGGGCCTCACCAGGAGGGACCCCTGAGTGCAGAGCCAGGAGTGCTCCCCGAGCACTGCCGACCATGGCCCCCCCAAAAAAAAACAAAAAAAGAATCTCTAGGGCTGATGAGTATATGCAGGGACCACACAGGCTTCCCAGGTCCGTTCCTGATGGACACTGCGGGACGCAGGCCGAGGCCATGCGGATGACCTCCCAGAAGCCCTTCAGGCCTGCGTGCCCTTCCAAGCCAGTATTCTCTCAAACACGTGTTCCTCGTTTTCTCTCTCCCTCACATCTATTTTATTTCTCCCCCCCCCCTTTTTTTTTAAATTGGGGGGCCACACCCGGCTGTGCTCAGACCTACCTCAGGCTGGGTGCTCATGGATCACTCCTGATGGTGCTCGGGGGGCCATAATAGGTGGCCGGGATGGAACCTGGTCAACTGTGTTCAAGGCAAGCACCCAACCCGCAGCACTGTGCCCCACCCCTCACCTCACATTTCTAAATAAATTACTTATTTTTATATATATGTAATCTGTCACTCACTGTCACTGTCCTCCCGTTGTTCACTGCTTTTGCTCGAGCGGGCCCAGTAACGTCTCCATTGTAAGACTTGTTGCTGTGTTTGGCATATCGAATACGTCATGGGTAATTAATATATATGAATCATATGTGTATATAATCTTTAGTTGAATCACACTGAGATACACCGTTACAAAGTTGTCATGGTTGCGTTCCAGTCATACTATGTTCCAGCACCCGTCCCTTCACCCGTGTACATTTCCCGCCACCAAAGTCCTCAGTTTCCCTCTACCCCTCGCCTCTATGGCAAACATATTTCTTCTCTCTCTCTCTCTCTCTCTCTCTTTTGCTCCCTCCCTTTCTCTCTCTTGCTTCTCCTCCCTTTTTAGGCAGTACGTTTCTTTCAATAAAATCTTCTGCTTCACTTCTGTTTTCCTCCGCCAGAAATTCTTCCCCGCAAGGGAAGGTGATGCCCGGGACTACCCGTGCCCAGGTTAGGACTGACTTTCCCTTCCTGCAGAGAACAACTCCTCGCTCCAGCCTGAGTCCACGGTTCCCCGAGGGCTCCTGTGTGGGGCCACGTGGGCTTCAGTGCTCTGGATGGCCGCCCTGAGGGGCTGGCAGGATGCGAACTTTGGTGTCTGTGGATGCTTCTAGCGGATTTTGCCTGGCCTGACCATGTCCATTTTCCAGATGGGCACGGCAGACCCAGAGCTCCTTCCTCAAGGCCCCTCCCTCACTCGCCGTGAGAGTCTTGTGTATGGTCTTCTCCTCAACCAGAATCCTTGGAGCCCCTTCCTGTCCCGCCGCACGCACGACACCATCGTTGCAGTGTCCGTCGGTGGGATTTTCTGCACATTGCGGGAAGCTCTTGATTCTGCCTCTGGCCCCAGCTGATCACTGCTGATCTCCTGTCTCACCCCAGGGTCCAGCACCCGCGGCGCCGGAGCCTGGCCTGCCCGGGGAACAGAGCCCGGTTGTCGCTCTGAGCTGCCGGCGCCCCGCCGAGGATGACGAGGATGGCGGCGCAGGAGGAGGACAGTGACGAGGAGGCCTGGCTGCAGCTCCAGCCCGTGGAACCTTTGCCCACCCAGTGCTGCGGCGGCGGCTGCTCCCCCTGCGTGTTCGACCTCTACCACCGAGACCTGGCCAGGTGGGAGGCTGCCCGGGCCAGCAAGGACAAGGCCCTGCTGCGAGGGGACGAGCCACAGGTGAGGCCCAGTTCGGTGAGAGCACCAGGGAGCGGCTCCACGCTGGGCCCAACCTCTGCCGAGCCAGCCAGCTAGAACAGGAAGCGAAGAGAGGCACACTCTGTTATCCCAGGGGCCTCCCGGGGGGTGGAGGGGAGGATGCGGAGGCTGCAGGCCTGGCTTCTAGCTCCCGATCTCCTCTCGCTGCAGAGCGGTCCCTCCCTGCTGAGCATGGAGACCTTCTCGGCCTTCCGCATCACTGATGTGCACAGACTCACCCAGGACACCTACCGTGTCCGCTTCGCACTGCCCGGGCACGGCCAGCTCGGCCTGCAGCCCGGCCAGCACCTCATCTTACGGTAGGCTTGGGTCCTGGCGTGGCAGCCCTGGGTGGGCCCTGGTCAGCTCGCTTGACCTCCCCCTCGCCTCTGTTGGTCGTTTCCAGAATTGACATAGTGGTAGGGGGTTCACAAGCGCTGGGGCTCCATGCAGATGTGTGTTCTGAAGTTAATGACACCCCACGCTACCACTTTGTTTATTGCCTTGGAGCAATAGCACAGCAGGTAGGGTGTTTGCCTTGCACGCAGCCAGCATGGCCAACCTGAGTTCGGTTCCTCCACCCCTCTCGGAGAGCCCGGCAAGCTACCGAGAGTATCTTACAGCAAAGCCTGGCAAGCTACCCGTGACGTATTCGATATACCAACACAGTAACAATTGTCACAATGGGCCCGCTCGAGCAAATCAATGAACAACGGGAGGACAGTGACAGTGACAGTGTTTACACTCGTGGACTCTTGCCGGCCTCGCCGAGTCCGAGGAGGTAGGGACCATGGTCATACTTGAGAGGAAGTGCAGTGAGAAGGGTTCAGTAGCTAGTCAAGGTCATGCAGGTTGGAAACACTGGAGCCCGACTTGGAGGCACAGGCCTGAAGCATGATTCACAGCGGTGGCACCGGCTGGCAGGATACCATCAAGAACGGCCGCCCAGAATCACCCAGCCTTAGTAAGCACACCCCTACCTCATGCCCCAGAGTTCTCCGAGCCTCCTGGGATCTGGGGTTCTGGGACGTGGGAGATCGACTCGCAGGCCGTGGAGCTGATGCTGATGGCGTGGTCAGGATGTCGTGGGCGCATCCTGTGGCGTGGCTGCTGGGGTGGGAGTGTCACGGGCGCCCGTTGGTGATGTCATGGCTGCAGCCTTTGCACTGGGGCACCTCAGAGCGTGTCTGGCCCTCGTGCTCCTGGTGCATGGAGGTGGGTGTTGAGCAAATGCTCACGGTTGTGTATATTTGTGTCATCCTGTGGTAAGAGGCAGTCTTCTGCCCCCACGCCTGGCTGTTCCTCGCCGGGGCCCCTTGGAGGGGAGCGGGTTGAGCTTTCCTCCCCGCCCCGACCAGGGCTCTGGCAGCCGAAGACCTCCAGGACCAGCCACCATCATGCTGAGACCACTCTCCGCACACATGAAGGTACTGGCAGAGGGACAAATCCACGCGGGTTCCGGGGCCAAGATCTCCAAGCCTACTCGGATTGAAGTCGAGCATCCTCCACCCAGATCCTTCCAAATTCCAGTAGGCAGGGGACACACCCACCACCTGGCCCCCTGGCGCCGTGTAATCCCATCAACGGCCAAGACTCAGAGACTATAAAACCCAGCTCCCGGAAGTGCGCGGCTGCATTTGCGGTCGCACGACATCTTATCAAGACATCTTTTTATGACATCTTATTATCTCATTCCTACTTTGGACAAACTTGCAGGCTATCGAATGTAGCCTGCCCACAGGGCAGAGTCTGGCAAACTCCCCGTGGCGTACCAAATATGCCAAATACCAGTAACAATGATGGGTCTCATTCTCCTAAAGAGCCTTGAATATAATTTCAGGGCTAGGATGAAAAAGACGTTACTGGGGCCTGCTCGAGGCAATCGATGTGGTTAAGAGGAGATCAGGGAAAAACCATCCCCATGTCCCCCAAGCAGCTCACACCCCATTGCCCCGCTCACTCTCGGGGTGCGCTGCCATGCCCAGAGCAGCTACACACACAGATTCCATCGTCCCCTTTCCTCGGATTCCCCCTTCAGGCCCCCAGACGACACTGTCCCTTAGAGACCCCCGTCGGGGCACTTTCAGAGCCTGGTGTTGCTTTGCTCTGTCACTGTGCAGCTTTAGGGGGCCTGGGCCAGCCCTGGGAGTCTCCGCAGGCCGCGGCGGCTGAGGTCAGGAGGACACTTCACCCGTCTCCAGGAGGTGGTGGGCCTCTGCTCTCACCGTCCAGGTCTGTCACGTGTGTCCTTCCTTCCTCTGAGTCCCCTGAGTCAGGGAGCAGCCATACGGCCTCAGCTGACACATGTCGACATGAAGCCTTATATGAGAAACAGCCAGGGAGGTAGCTCAGCGTGGCTGGACACGTGTCTCCTGGGTGAGGTGGGTGAGGTCCCATCCCGGTCCCGCCTGACCCCAGCCGCCACTGCACCAGCAGCCCTGAGCAGCCCCAACCATCAGCCCAGCACCACAGAGCCCAGTGGTACCTGGGGCCACCGAATCCAAGACAGGTGGTCTTCCGAGATTCCTTCTCTGCTATGCTTTGTTTTTGTTTTGTTTTGTTTTGTTTTGGGGCCAGACCCAGCTGTGCCCAGGGCTTCCCCCTGGCTCTGCGCTCAGGGATCACTCCTGATGGGACTTAGGGGACTGTATGGGGTGCCGAGGATCAAACCCGGGTCAGATGTGTGCAAGGCAAGCGCCCTCCCCGCTGTACGATGGCTCCGGCCATCTGCTCCACTTGTCCACCCCTCGGGGAGGATGCCTGGGGTGATTAGGCCTCCCTCCCCTTGTCAGCCTGGCACCCAGTGGGTTCCCTCCAGGCTCTGCTGAGTGCTGCATGCCTGACCGAGTGCCCGTGTTTGTCCCAGGGCTCGGGTCGGTGACTTGGATGTCCAGAGAGCCTACACGCCCATCAGCCCTGCCAATGCGAGTGGCTACTTCGAGGTCCTCATCAAGGTGAGCTGCCCTGTGCGGGGACACTCGGTACTGCAGACCAAAGTGGGGTACCCCAGCCTGGCTCGGCTGCACGCAGCTTCCTGTGTGATCACAGCTACCCGCTGTTCCCGGGCAGCAGCCGCGGTGGGACGGGGCAGGTGAGGGACCTTCTCACCTCCTTTCCCAGGGAAGGGATGCCGGGGCAGAGGGCAGTTCCCGGCACCTATTCCAAAGCAGAGTTGCCAGCTGAGCCTTTGAGCTTGAAGAGCGAGCACTGCGCAGTGGGTGGAGGGTCACGGGCACTCCCCGTGTGCTGGTACGGCATCCAAGTGGAGGCAAAAAAAGCACAGAGATGCCACCACAGCAGGGTGGGTGGACCTGCAGGAGGCAGGCTGGGGAGGCGGCAGGTCTGACCTGGGCACTCGGACTAAGAGGGAGAGGCACGGGCTGGGCACAGTGCGATCCGGACGCCCTTTGGTCATCTGTCCTGGAAGAAAAGGGGGCATGCAGGCACAGGGCCCACACAGCAGGCCACACGGAGCCCTGTAAGCCGAGGTCACCCATCTGGGAGGGGGGCAGGAGTGGGGGATGGGCCGAGGGCACAGGGGGCATGAAGGACACTCGTGAGTGGCGGGAGGAAGTGGGCAGCGAGGACACGGGTCACGGGCTGGCTGGAAGCCACCCCAGAGCCAGGTGCCTCCATACTCGTATGCGAGGGGGACCGTGGACGCAGGTAGAACACCCTGACGTTGCCCGTGGTCTGCACTGTTGGCTTTCAGAAACGGTTGCGTCTAGAGTCTACGTCATTGTCACCATCCCCCTCACCCCACCCCCGCTGAATCCTGGCACCCACCTGCATGTCAGAATTGCCACCAGGTTCTCTCTCTGTTTGCTTTGTTTGGGGCTACATCCAGCGGTGCTCAGGGCTTGCTCCCGGCTCTGCACGCAGGAATTACTCTTGGCAAGGCTCGGAGGACCATATGGGTTGCCCGGGATCGAACCCCGGCAGCCCTGTGCAAGGCAAACGCCTGCTCATTGTACTGTCACAGGGTTGGTGGGGGCAGCCAGGCCCCAGGCTGCAGCAGTGCCTCCGGCTCCTGCCTTCCCAGCCCCGGCTCCCGCCGAGTGTTGCTTCCGTCACACTTAAGCTCGGAAGGGATCCCTGCTCCACGCAACTGTTTGTCTGGGAGATTCCACAAATCCTCTCCAAATGGCCTGCTTCCCCCAGGCCGCCAGTCTGCCGTGCTGCTGGTGAGAGGCTAAGCCTGGAGACGGTTCTCAGGGTGGCTGCTAGCTCCCAGCCGCAGGCCTGAGCCTCTCCTTCGTTTACCAGAAAGCGCCTCCACAGAGAGGGGCTTAATTACCCCTAGGCCGCTGGTTGGTTGCGGAGTCGTTGGAAAGGGCTGGAATCCTGGCCCAGGTGGGGAGCGGTAGGGCCCCTCTCGGGATAGGTGGGGGGAGGCCCTTCTGCCTTGCAGCTCATGGGCACCAGGCAGGGCTTCCTGCTCTCCTCTCCTCCCCGCAGCCTCAGACTCCATCCTGCAGATGAAGGGATGGAGGAGAGAGAGAGAGAGAGAGAGAGAGAGAGAGAGAGAGAGAGAGAGAGAGAGGAGAAGAGAAGAGAGATGTGGTCTTCATCCCAGCGCTTCCTGGGTCTCAAGTGGGCGAGGCCACAGCCCGGTTTCTGTTGAATCAGAGTGGACCAAGGGAGCACGGGGAGGGGGGGGACTGGAGATGGAGGGCCCCTCCTTTCACGGGAGTGCTAGCCGCTGCTGCCACCCCTAGGGCTGGGCCAGCAAGCCAAGGTGGGAAACTGCCACCCAGCCAGACTTCCTGGCCAGTTGAGGCCACTGTGGCCTGGTGATGAGGGGCCTGGTGGGTCAGGGTGTGCCCAGTAGGCTGCGGGCACCTGAGCTCATTGCCAGCACCAGGTCCTCACTCCTGGTACCCGCCCCATGCGCTTTCCCGAGCATCATCCCAGCTGCCTGACCCCCCCACCCCCACTGGATACCAGAGTCCTCTCTGCCCGCCTGCTCCACCCCCATGGCCTTGCCGAGTCTCCAGGGCTCTGCTGGCTTGATGCCACCTCTCAAAGCTCTCCTGGATTCCACCATGTGAAAGCACTCCCCGCCTCAGGGCCCTCCACGTGGGGAATGTTTTGTTGTTGTTGTTTTGTTTGGGGGGGGGCACCCTGTGGTGCTCAGGGCTCACTCCTGGCTCTGCGCTTAGGGATCACGCCTGGTGGGGACCATCTGGGATGCCGAGGATGGGACCCGGGTCGGCCACATGCCAGTCAAGCGCCCTGCCTGCTGTGGTATCACTCAGGGGGGTACCTGGTTTGAGCCTGCACTCAGAGAATGATACAGCTGCCCTGGAGAATGTTTGAAACTCGCCCCCCACTTACCCCAATCCCCCCCGCCCTCGCCCAGCTGGGAGGTCCTTAAGGGACCCTTTGAGCCTGAATCCGTCTGTGCTCCAAACTCGGCCTGGTCTGTGGCCGGGCACTGGTTGTCTTCCTGGAACAGGCTTAGCTGGAGCAGGCAGCCCCAGACACGGCAGACGCCACCTTCCTCCCCGCGCCCGCCACGGAAGGCCCCCGTCCCTTCCCTTCATGATTGCTGCAGTGACAGGCTCACACACCTGGTGTGAAGACACGGGGATGGGGGTGGGGGGGTTGCACGTGTTTGTGTCTTCATTGGTCGCCGCAATGGGGAAGGCCGAGATGGCAGACGAGCTGCCCGCCGACGGCCCCAGCCTGCAGCTGTACCTGGTTTGAGCCTGCATGTTGTTCGAAAATGTTCTGATGAGTCGTTGACATTTCAAAAACGAAAGTATGGATTTCCTGCTCTCTCGGAAAACCCGAAGACATGGCATCAGTCGGCTCACGGAGAAAGTGTTGGACTCTGCCAAGTGGCTTCCTCTAGAGGGGTGCCGCCGGTCCGCCCTCTCGCCCCGCTACCCTCCTTGGTTCTTCTCCCCCCAGGCCCCCGGGGCGCTGGCACCCAGTTCCCCACTGTCTGTCACCTGCGGGGCCTCCCTGGCTAGGGTCCCGGGGTGCTGTGACTCTCCCAGGTCTCCCACTTCCCTCTGTGACCTGGGCCTGGTCTGGAAGTTGGGAGCGACGGTGGCATCTTCGTGGGGGGGCTCAGCGGAGTGGGGGAGGGCCAGGACCATGCTCATGGGTGGGACCCAGCTCGGCCATGTGGGCTGGGGCCACTCAGGGGTCCTGTGCTCGTGCCCAGTGTTACCCGACAGGGCTCATGTCCCAGCACGTGGAGTCCTGGAAAGCGGGGGACACAGCTCTGTGGCGGGGACCTTTTGGAAGCTTCTCCTATCAACCAAACCAGGTAAGTGAGTGCATGCTCACACACATACACACACGCACACAAACACACAGACAAGCATGCACGCACACATGCACACACAAGCACGTATGCACGCACACGTACACACACCTGCACACAAACACAAGGAAGCACACACACATACATTCTTGCACACACGCACCACACACACACGTGCACGCACACACGCATGCACACATACTTACACACGTGCACACATACACACGCACACAAACACACGCACACAAACGCAAAGACAAGCATGCACGCACACATGCACACAGCACACACAAGCACACTAACACAAGCAAGCACGCATCCACACATACGTGCACACACACACCACACACACGTACATGCATGCACACACTTATGCACACATACACGCGCGCTCAGCCCCCAGACTGAGCCTATTCTGAACTGGCCCTCAGGGCTGCACGTGGGGCTGCAGAAGCGGCCCAGGCTGCCGGGAGGTGGGGGAGGGGCGCACAGATCGAGTTCTGGAACCCCTCTACCCTCTGCCCCCCTGGCTCTCCATGTCACATTGCAGCAGCAGTGGGGGCTGCGCCCTAATACAGCTGCATGGTGGCTGCTTGAATGCTTAAAGCCCCTCCCCCACCCCAGACCTGTCTGGCCCAGGGCCCCTCCCCCTCTTCCTGGCAAGTTCCAATCCTTCCCTCCCCTTCCCCGTGGGGGATTCCTGAACTCGCTGCAGTGGCGCATGTCTGGGAAAGGAGTTTGACAGTATGTACTCGGGTCTGAAGGATCTTCAGGACTGGGTGGCAGGATGGGACCCAGAGGCAGACCTGCCTGTCGGGGCCAGTCCGAATAGGGTGGGTGTGGCACCCTGCACAGTTGCAGCAGCAGCAGTTAAAATTTTATTTTATTTATTTTTTGCATCACACCTGGCGATGCACAGGGGTTACTCCTGGCTCTGCACTCAGGAATTATTCCTGGTGGTGCTCAGGGGACCATATGGGATGCTGGGAATCGAACCCAGATCGACCGTGTGCAAGGCAAACACCCTACCTGCTGTGCGATCGCTCCAGCCCCAACAGTTAAAATAAAAAAAAAAAAAAACTTGAAACAAGAATTTGAAAATTCAAGGGGTAGAAAATGGGGCATGGTGGCTGAGCTCATTCTTGGCGTGTGTGAGACCCAGGTTCCATCCCCAGCACTGGGAAGGAAGAGAAAAGAAGCCTCCGTTTCACTCTTGGAAATAATCCACCATGCTGACTCTCTTTTAAGGGGAGGGAGAGTTTCAGCTCTGCGCGGCAGTGCTCGGGGCTCAGTCCCACAGGGGCCTGGGGAGCCCTGGGGAGCCAGGGGGCCGTCACGGGTAGGTCTTGTGCAGGGCAAGCGCTAACCCCTGTGCTCTATGGCCAAGCTTGCTCGCTTTCTTGCATAGGTTTATTGTGGCTCTCTCAGTAGGAATTGGAAAGAGCCACGCGTCCAGTGGCAGTTAAGGGCACTGGGTCACAGGGACTTGACAATATGTCATCATGAATGTTAACATTTTCTTTATGCTTATAAACATGATGCCGTAAACATGAGATGCATTATGAATCCATCGTAGCATATGAATATACAGAAAACTATGGAACAAACATGCCATGACTGCTCTGGAGGTAGAATCATGGGTGATTTTTATTTTCTTCTTTAGAATTTCTAGATCGTCCACAATGAACACCTAATACCTTTATAATTAGGAAAACAAAGCCAAAAAAAAGACAGAGAAGAACGAATCGTTCCTTTCTATTCTTTTCGCTTCATTTTACAAATAGCTTTATTGGTTTTTTTTCCTTATTACAAATGCAGTACGTGCTCATTACTCCCAAATGAGCAGATGCAGAGCAGACACACGGGCAAAGGAAGAACACCTGCAGGCATCTCAGCGAGGACTCCCAGAGAAGCGAGAATCCCCATCCCGCCTGCCTCCTCCCAAGCGTGCACTTGGGCTCCCAGTGCAAGCAGGAGGCCCGTGTTCCGAGCCAGGCTGCGGCTCAGCCCTTGCCTGGAGCCCCCTGAATCCGCCCACGGCCCTTAGCAGGGCTCCCCGGGGCCAGTGGTGTGGTGGCGTCTCCTGCTCAGTCTTCTGCTTGGCTCAGGGTCCCCTAGTCTCCAAGCCCTTGAGAGGGAGGACTGGGCCGAGCCTCTGACCCTCTGAACAGAAGAGACACCTGGGTCTGACCAAGGGGGTTTTCTTTTTCTTCTTACTTATTATTATTATTATTTGCTTTTTGGGTCACACCCGGTGATGCACAGGGGTTACTCCTGGCTCTGCACTCAGGAGTTACTCCTGGCGGTGCTCAGGGGACCATATGGGATGCTGGGAATTGAACCCGGTCGGCCACGTGCAAGGCCCTACCCGCTGTGCTATCGCTCCAGCCCCTTTTTCTTCTTTATTTATTTATTTATATATTTAGTTAGTTATGGGCTGGAGCGATAGCACAGCGGGTAGGGCGTTTGCCTTGCACGTGGCCAACCCGGCCGGCCCATGTTCGATTCCTCCACGCCTCTCAGAGAGCCCGGCAAGCTACTGAGAGTATCTCGCCCGCACGGGTATTCAATATGCCAAACACAGTAACAACAAGTCTCACAATGGGACGTTACTGGGACCGCTCGAGCAAATGGCTGAATAACAGGAGGACAATGACAGTGACAGTTATGGCTTTGGGGCCACATCCAGTGGTGCTCTGGGCTAGCTCCCACTTACTTCCTGCGCTCAGAAACTGCTGGCTGATGAGGCTCAGGGAACCATATGGGGTGCCAGGGATCAGCCCGGTTTTTTGATCAGCACACGCCTTCCCTGCTGTGCTAGCGCTCTGGCCCTCCAAGTGGGTTTTCTGAAGCCTTGGGCCCCTCCCCGCTCACACGGACCAGAAGCTCTGCGTTTCCGTGCAGTGAGGTGACAGCCGGCGCAGCGGGTGGAGAGAGGGCATCTCCCACGCTGGTACTGGCCACTAGCAGGGCCTGTCCCTGCGCCTGTTCGCACACCTGCGGTCTGTCGGCACCAGGGCGGCAGCCCCAGGACTGGGGTGTCCATGTGATGGGGTGTGCGTGTGGTGGCGGTGTGATGAGGAGGCAGACCCGCCCACCCGCTCGTGTGGCAGCTGTGAGGAGGGGCGCAGAGGGCGGGGGTGCCGAGGAAGGACCAGGAGGAGAGCCTGCGGCCAGGCCTGGCAGCCGAGTGCTGGGACCCCCGCGGGAGACAGGCCCTGCTCCACGAGGCAGCCTGGAACTCTCCTCGCACCCACTGTTCCTAGGCATGTGATGATTTTTCTATCTGAGAAGGGGGGAAGCTGGAGAGGGGAGTGAGCAGGCCGGACCGCAGCACTGGGTCACCACCCCCAGGAGGTGTGCAGTGCAGCTGTTCAGTGCGGCAAGCGGACACTCGCGCCGCCTGCAGGGCCTGAGCAGTAGAAAGCAGGAGGCGACCATTCGCCCTCTCCTCTCTGGAAAGAAAGATGGCGGCCACATGGGAGCCTTGTGGACAGCAGGTATGAGCCGGGAGTGTGGGGGCGACTAAAACCTCATGGGAAGGGGGGCGTTTCGCTCCGCCCTTCACGCCCTACCGAGGCCACCAGTTGCCCCCACGAGCGGCTCTCCAGCACGGCCACAGCCCCAGAAGCACAATGACCTAATGCAGAACCCAGCAGCTTGGAGCAGAAAAGTGAAAGGACTATGCGTTAATCCAGGCAATCATTTCTGCCCAGAGGGGAAAGGGTGTTGCTCCCTTCCGCCCTCCTCCCTCTGGAAAGAAAGATGGCGGCCACATGGGAGCCTTGTGGACAGCAGGTATGAGCCGGGGGTGTGGGGGCGACTAAAACCTCATGGGAAGGGGGGTGTTCTGGTCCGTCCTTCACGCCCTACCGAGGTCACCAGTTGCCCCCCACGAGCGGCTCTCCAGCACGGCCACGGCCCCAGAAGCACAAGGACTTAATGCAGAACCCAGCAGCTTGGAGCAGAAAAGTGAACGGACTATGCATTGATCCAGGCCATCAAGTCTGCCGGAGGGGAAAGGGTGTTGCCCCATTCGCCCTCTCCTCTCTGGAAAGAAAGATGGCGGCCACATGGGAGCCTTGTGGACAGCAGGTATGAGCCGGGAGTGTGGGGGCGACTAAAACCTCATGGGAAGGGGGGCGTTTCGCTCCGCCCTTCACGCCCTACCGAGGCCACCAGTTGCCCCCCACGAGCGGCTCTCCAGCACGGCCACGACTCCAGAACACAGAAACCAATTTCTTAACTATCTGACTTTCAGTAGAAATACTTCCAGGGTCAATAGGTAAAAGAGCAGAAATCCAAAACCAACATTTAATTCTTGAACCCAGCTGTAGAAAGCAAATCACTTCACAATGCTTTTTCAGCATGTCTGATTTGGGGGGGGGGGTAAACTCTAAATAATAGTGGTGAATCTTTTATTGAAACAATCTAATCAAAGCGGATAGAGTGTTAACTAGAATTCATCTGCCTCACAGGGACGGGGAGGGGTGAGGGGTGGGGTTTTATTGGGGTTCTTCATGGGAAAAAATAAGTATTGGTAAAGGGAAATGTGTTTGATATTTGCATGACTGAGACATAAACCTGAAAGCTTTGTAACCTTTCCCACAGTGATTCAATAAATAAAAAAAAAATAAATTAAAAAAAAAAAAAAAAAAAAAGAAAGCAGGAGGCGAGCACTTCACTGCACGGGCTGCCCCTAGGTCTGAGACGGAGCGTGGCTGGGCTCAGGGAGGAACCCGCCTTTACGGGGAGGACTCTGATTGACAGCCACTTAGGAGAGGAGTCCGGTTGACGGCCTCTTATGGGAGGGCTTTGGTTGAGCCCCTCTTAGTGGGAGGACTCTCATGGCCTCTTGGGGAGGACTCCTTTTACAGGGAGGACTCCAGTTGACGGCCTTTTGGGGGAAGACTCTGATTGATCTCTTAGTGGCAAACGCCCTACCCAATGTGCTATGGCCTCCTAGGGGAGGACTCCTCTTGCAGGGAGGACTCTGGTTGATGGCCTTTTTGGGGAGGACTCTGATAGCCCCTTAGTGGGAGGACTCTCATGGCCTCCTGGGGGAGGACTCCAACTGACGGCCTTTTGGGGGAGGACTCTAATTGATGTCCTCTTAGGGGAGGACTCCTCTTGCAGGGAGGACTCTGGTTGACTGCCTCTTAGGGGAGGACTCTCACGGCCTCTTGGGGGAGGACTCCAATGGATCGCCTGGCTCCTGCTGCCAGCACTGTGCCAAGCACCGGCCTACTGCTGACTGTCCCATTCAGACTCAGGAACAGCCCCTGGGGCCCCTGGGGTCCCGCCAGGGCCAACCTGGGGCAGAGGGAGCTGCCAAGGGACAGACCCGGGATGGGGATGGTGGGGAACGGGTTTCAACCCAGTGTGAGGGGCACAGCCTTGCAGGGGGACCTGCTGGTGTGGGGGCTTGGGCAACAACCTGCCGTTTATTTTTATTTATTTATTTATTTTTGCCTTTTGGGATCATACCCAGCAATGCTCAGGGGTTACTCCTGGCTCTCCACTCAGGAGTTACCCCTCGTGGTGCTCAGGGATGCCAGGGATCGAACCCAGGTCGGCCGCGTGCAAGGCAAACGCCCTACCCGCTGTGCTATTGCTCCGCCCCCCCCCTCCGCCGTTTATACTTGAGCTCTCTCAGGTTTCCCTATCAACCCCCAGAGTTCCATGCTTTCTATGACTCCAATCTCATAGAGCCCAAGCCAGGGTGGCTTCCTGGAGGAGGTGGAGGGAAACTCGGACGGGCAGAGCAGCGGGAAGGGCGGTGCCATCCAGTTCAGGCAGACGCAGGGGAAAGCCCAAGGTGGGCGGGGTGAGGACCTCTCTGGCTCCCCTGGTCACCTGCTTCCTGTCCCCCAGTATGGTGAGCTCCTCATGCTGGCCGCGGGCACCGGCCTGGCCCCCATGGTGCCCATCCTGCAGAGCATCACCGACAACGCCGACGACGAGACCTTCGTCACCCTGGTGGGCTGCTTCAGGACCTTCGAGGACATCTACCTGAAGGCCTTCCTGCAGGAGCAGGCTCGCTTCTGGAACGTGCGCACCTTCTTTGTACTCAGCCAGGTGAGCCGGGGTGGGGGGCGGCTCCCACCGGGATGGGCACCGTGTCTGAGGGTCCCGGTCCTGAGGGGCCTGCCGGGAAGTGGCCTTGGAAGGAAGTTGGTGCCTTCGTGGCCGGGAGAAGCAGGGCACTGCCGAGTCCTGCCCCTGCTGCTCTCCTCCCTGTGTTCCCCCAGCCCGGGAGGCTCACGGGGCCCCTCCCTGTCTCTCATCCACGCAGGAGAGCTCCCCCGAGCAGCTGCCCTGGAGTTACCAGGAGAAGACCCGCTTCGGCCGCCTGGCCCAGGAGCTGGTGGAAGAGCTGGTCGCGTCCTGTCGGAGGAAGCCATTCGCCTTGGTCTGCGGCTCGGCTGAGTTCACCCAGGACATGGCGGGGTGCTTGCAGGGGGCCGGCTTGGAGGAGGAGGACTACTTCCTCTTCTAGCCTCCTTCCTGCCCGTGGAGCTGCCTGCACCCCACCCGGGCCCCTGGACCGGCATCCTCACCTCCGCTTCTCATCCCAGCAGGAGGGCAGCTCTCCTCCGGCAGGTGCACTGTGTGCAGGAAGCAGGGGCTGATGGAGCCACAGAGTGGGGGTCTGGGAGGAAGCCAGGTCCCCCTGGGCCCCACTAAGTGGGCTTTGGCAGAGGAGGAATTTCCTGGGCCCTCTGATGGCGGGGGTTGGTTGAGGGCCCCCCTGGGAATCCACCAGAAGTTGTCTGTTCCTGGGGCAGCCCCTGGAGAGACCTCGGGGCTCAGGTCAGGTGTTGCAGCATTTAGGGGGATTCTAGGGGCGGTTGAGAGCTCTCTGAGAGCGGGGCTGCTTTACGGACCTCCAGTGCACCCAGCTGACCCAGGAAGGTCTTGGTTCTGCGTCCCCATTCCCGGTGGGGCGGGTCCGAGGTAACCTCTCCTTTGTCCGGGCCCTGGACCCTTCCTGTGCTTTCCTCAGTCTCCCTCCCCGGGCTGAGGTACCCCCTCCTCCTGCAGGCAGCGCTCAGCTTGCCACCCTGGTGACGGTTGCTATGGAGAGCTAAAGATAGAGCAGGAGTTGGGAGGCCTGGGTCCCTCCCAGCCCTACCCACTAAGAGCCCCCTCCCACTCCCCCCCACCCCCAGCTCCAGCCTGCGCTGGCCCTGCCCTCCCCCAAGGGACCCTGCCCTCCAGGCAGTGCTGCAGTTAATGAATTCTGCTTTTTGCAGCCTGGGCTCTCCCGTGCTGCACCAGCTCAGACTGGTTATAGGCGGTCCTGGAATCCGAATAGGAAGATAGGGAATCCGAGGACCCCAGGATGGGAGAGTTAGCTTTTCAGATACGAGATTGCATAGCCCAGGGCTCCAGAGCACTGTGACAGACTCACTCTGTACGTGGGAAAATCAGGCCCAGTGTGGCTAAGTGAGCTGCCCCCAGTAAAACAAGGGTCTTCACGCCCCACTCACTCCGCCTGACCAGTTCTACTGTTATTGGTTTTGGGGGGCCACACCTGGCTACGCTCAGGGTTCACTTCTGGCTCTGAGCTCAGGGATCACGCCTAGTGGGGTCAAGGGGCCCTTTGGGGTGCCAGGGATCAAACTGGGGTCTGCCACATACAAATCAAGCACCCTACCCACTGTACTATCTCTCCGGCCCTAAATTTTATGCCATTTGTATACTGGGGTCGAGAGGGGTGTATGGAATTATTTTTTATTTGTAAAAAAGGATTTTTTCCCCCTGCACTGCCCTTAAAGTTTCACTAAACCTTTGTACCGTACATGTTCAGTAGATGATGGTGGTGCAGAGTGGAGGGCGGTGCCGACCTTTTCCAAGCACCTTTTAGAGGCAGAATTCCACGGGCAGAGAGATATGGGCACACTGCAGAGGACCTTTGCCACGAACCCCTGGCACAGGAGCAGCCATCCAGGAAACCGATCTTACATTTCACTGTAAAGGGTGAGGCCAAGAAGCTAGACTGCAGAGCTATAGTAATCGAAGCTGTGTGGCATGGAGTAAAGGCAGACTTGGATTTAGGGAGTAAAATCAAGAGCTCAGAGATAAACCTTCCAATGTGTGAACAGTTCATCTGTGACAAAGGAGCCAAGTGCACAATGTCCAGCAAAAAGAACCTCCACAAATGGTGCTGGGAAGACTGGGTCGCCATGTGCAAAAAAGAAAAAAAAAAAAGGGCAGGCGAGATAGTCCAGTGGGTAGGGCACTTGCCTTGCATGTGGTCAACCAGGGTTAGCTCTCTAGCATCCCATATGGTCCCCCGAGCACCACCAGTAGTTATTTCTGAGTACAGAGCCAGGAGTAACCCCTGAGCATCACTCGGTATGACCCAAAAAGCTAAACAAACAAATAAATAAAATTTTTTAAAAGAATGAATCTAGGTCCCTGTCTCATACCATACACAAATGTTAATTCAAAATGAACTAAGACCTTGATAGACCCAAATCCACATCATCCATGGAGGGAAACACAGGCCGAGCACTCCACGAGGTGGACTTCAGAAGCCCCCACTCTGATTGGACGCCGTTGGTTAAGAAAACAGAAGCGAAAAGAAAGCAAACGGACTCCATCAAACTAAAGTTTCTGTGCCATGAGAGTAAACAGGCTGAGTGGGAGGGAAGGCGGGCTCCCTTCGCTCTGTCAGAGGACCGAGACCTGGGAACCCATCACCAAGGAAAGATGGGAAGAGATGCTGAGCATCCAGACCGGCCAATGGGAGTGTGGAAGAGTTCTCATCACTTAAACGTCAGGGACATGAGGATTAAAGCAGTGAGTCATCACCTCCCCCCGTGAGGACAGGAAGACCAGAAACAGCAGCATGGGCTGGGATGTGGTGGCAGCGGGACCCCCACATCATCGGTCTGGCATCTGCGGGCAACAATATGGAGACTTCTGCAAACTTGAGAGTAGAGCTCCCATGTGATCCCACAACTCCTCTACTTGGCATCTACCCCAAGAACACGAAAACCTTCTTCTGAGAGATATTTGCACGCCCCGTTCATTGCAGCACCCTGCGCAACAGCCAACGTCCGAAGCAGCCCAAGTGCTCAAGAGCAGATTAGAAGCCCAAGAGGTCGCGGTCTGCCTACACAATGGGAGTTGTAAAGGAAGACAAAAACCTGCATTTTGCCGCTTCGTGCAACTGGAGAGGATTCTGCTGAGCAAAGCGAGTCAAAGGGGGGACAAACACTGAATGAGCTCGTGTGTGGAGTGTGAAGAGACAGCAAGGAGCTAACAGTGGCCAGTGACAGCAGCCTGAGAGTCGGCCGGCAGAGTTTGCCAAGTGGGATGGAGTAGGGGGCCGAGCCAGGACCTAGAGACGGGGGTGGAGGGATGCTGAGATTCTGGTGATGGGTTCGAAATAATGTAAAAAGTATCATAAATCAAAGCGCCTCAATATATCAGGCACCAATGAACTGTCCAGCTGTCACCGAAAAAAGGCCCTGGGCAGTTCAGAGCTGGGCAGACTTCCCTAGTGAGCCTTGCCCGCCTGTGTCCCCAGCAGCTATATGTACAGGGTCCCGGGCAGCTCCCACCGGACAGTCCCCTTTACGAGTCCCCTTTGCTCTGAAAGGTGCTTGGCAAAGGCTGGTACCACCCTCAACTCGGCGTTGTCATATACTGAGCTTGTACAGCCAGAGCCTGTGTGTATGGCGGGGTCATCGCACCCCTGCACCTCCTGAATGTCAAATCAGAAATCAGCATTTGGGGGGGGATGGGGTTCAGGACCTAGTGTTGTTCACAGCTTACTCCTTGCTCTGTGCTCAGGGCTCACTCCTGGTGATGGTGCTCAGGATCCAGGGATGGAAGCCAAGTCGGCCACATGCAAGGCAAACCCCCTACCCGCTGTACTATTGCTCCAGCCACAATAAAGCTGCAACTTTCATGGGGGTATTTGGCAAATGGCACAAAAGTGTTTCATTCCCCCTTAAACAGAGTCATCACCCCAGTGTATGCTGTTTTATCACCCCAGTTTACTGATGAGGAGACTAAGCTGCCGAGACATTGAATATTTCTCCTAACATTGCTTTATCCCCAGGTGCTGCCAATGGATCAAGGTTGCACATGACTTCCGAGTGTGTGTTCGAGCTGTGTGGAAGGCTTCTCATTGTCGCTTTGTTTGAAAGAGCCCAAAGGGAAGCCGGGATGGGGCTCCGCGGCCGAACACCTGCCTTGCGTGTGTGAGACCCTGGCTTCCGTCCCTGGCTCCACAGAAGAATACGAATAGGAGGGCAGGGGGCTGGAGCGATAGTCCAGCAGGGAGGGCATTTGCCTTACACACAGCTCACCTGGGTTCGATCCCCAGCATCCCATATGGTCCCTCGAACATCGCCAGGAGTAAACTCTAAGCATTGCTGGGTGTAGCCCTCAAGCCAAAAACAAACAACAGAGGGGTTGGGGAGATAGTACAGTGGGTAAACTGCTTTCCTTGCATGTAGCTGACCTGGGTTCAATCCCTGGCACCCCATATAGTCCTCAGGAGTGATCCCTGAGCACAAGCCAGTAGTAAAGCCTGAGCACTGTCAAGCCCCCAAATGCTCCCCAAAAGTAAAACTAGGAAATATAAAAGGAAAAAGAAAACCCTACTATATCCATCAATAAGAGAACAGAAAAAATTGTTCTCTGGGCCAAGGAGATGGGTCCAGATGCTGGAACACATACTTTATATGTGGGAGGTCCCACAGGCCCCCGCAACACCTGCTCTCCTGAACCCCATGCCAGGAGTAACTTCTGAGCTCCTCCAGGTGTGGTTCGAAACAAAACAGACCACCCCCAAAATCCCCAGCATTGTTCTTTTTAGCTTCATGCATAGGGGTGCCATGCAGCAGGTAAAGTAATTGGCCAGAGAGCTGCCCACACGGACAAAGTCCATCCAATGTACCAGTTGAGAACAAATAGGGAAAAAAAAGGTAGAGTCTGATACCAATGGTTGAAAAGTTTAAAAAACAAACTAGGCTGGGGCCGGAGTGATAGTACAGTGGGGAGGGAGTTTGCCTTGCACGTGGCCAACCCGGGTTTGATCCCTGGCATCCCATATGGCCCCCCGAACACCTCCAGGAGTGATTCCTGGGTGCAGAGCCAGGAGTAACCCCTGAGCATTGACAGATGTGACCCCAAAAGCAAAAAAAAAAAAGCATAAAATAGGGGCTGGAGAGATAGTCCAGGTGTTAAGTGCTTACCTTAAGCCCCACAGACCCGGGTTCAAATCCTGGATACCACATGTGTTCCCTCAAGAATGGCCCAGGGGTCATCGTGCTTGAGCACAGAGCCAGGAATATCCCCTGAGCACTGCTGGGTGTGGCCCCAAACACAACCAGACACAAACAATGCTAAATGCTCAAGAAAGAGTGGTGAGCTGAGGTTGCGGGCAGGAGGGGGCGCACGGGGAGGGGAAGGTATTTTTCCATCTGCATTATTTTGTTCTAAAAACACCCAGTGTGAATGGGGGAAACAGGAGTC